TCTCTGACTGGGGAACTAAGATCCCACATGCTTTGCATGCTGCCAAAAAAAAAAAAAAAAAAGTAGCAGTAACCAACTCTTGGATGAACAAGTGACTGTGACACAACAGGGGCCCCTTTGCACTCTTGAAAAATGCCAAGACGGCATTCACGATAGTGAAAAGGTGAGAGCAACCAGAGTGTCCATCAGCTGATGAATGGAAAGACCAAATGTGGTCGAGCCACACAGTGGACTATCATTCAGAAAAGGAACGAAGTACTGGCGTATGCTACAACATGGACGTACCTTGAAAACGTCATGCTAAGTGAAGGTAGCCAGACACAAAAAGGCAGCATGTGATTGCATGATTCCGCTTATATGAAATGTCCAGAAATGACAAATCTGGAGAAAAGAAAATAGGTTCCTGGTTGCCAGCAGCTGGGGGAGGTTTGGGGGTAAAGGGGGAGTCTACTGATAGGCCTGGGGTTTTTCCCTCAGGTGATGAAAATGTTCTAAAATAATTGTGGTGACATTTGCAAAACTCTAAAAAAAAAAAAAACAAAACATAGAATGGTAAAAGAATGGATTTTATGATATGTGAATTGTATCTTAATGAGAAGAAAAATCTTACTGTAGTGCTCCGAGGTGAGCACTATATATTGAAATTGTTCTGCTCTACCAAATCACCTGGTTCAGGGGTTGGTCCATAAGCAGCATCATAGGCATTGCCTGAGCGTGAGAAATGGACAATGAGAGGCCTTCTCCCAGGTCTTTGGAAATCACAATCTGTACCTTAATAAGGCCCCTTCCCAGGTAATTCGTATGAACATTCAAGTTAGAGAAACCCTGATCCAAAGCATTAATGAGGTCTTAAGAGTCTAGCGTTGAGTGACAAGTATGTAGCATGAGTGATCATACCAACACACTTGATTTCAAAGGCATGAGAGAGATCAGGACAAAATGTTAGAACACATTTTGTTTAATTTAGAAAAAAAATTGTTTAATTTGTTGGCCTTTATTTCTTTACAAGTTTCTCTTTTCTTTTATAAGCAATAACTTGCTTTTAAAAAAAAATCTATCCTTTTTATTTGTTTGTAGAATCTTAGTTCCCCAACCAGGGATTGAACCTATGCCCTTGGCAGTGAAAGCTCAGAGTCCTAACCACTGGACCACCAGAGAACTTCCTACAAATTCTCTTTAATGTTAAAAAAAGAAAGAAAGAAAAGAAATCGGGGGTGGGGGAAGTTTTGGATAATGGTGTAAAGTCCAGGGCTTAAGCATGCTATAAAAGATCCTTGAGCTAATATTATTTGTGGGTTTTTCTTTTTTTGCCAGCTAGAAATCATTTCAAGTGTAGAACTTTCTCTGACCAGCTGCTGTTCTAAGTGCTGTTGACTAGCATGGCTGTGGGCTCTTTTCTAAAAAAAAATAGGGCAATGCTTGTGGGGTGAGGAGGTTAACGCTGCTGCTAAGTCACTTCAGTTGTGTTCGACTCTGTGCGACCCCATAGACGGCAGCCCATTGGGTTCACCCGTCCCTGGGATTCTCCAGGCAGGAACACTGGAGTGGGTTGCCATTTCCTTCCCCAATGCATGAAAGTGAAAAGTGAAAGTGAAAGTGAAGTCACTCATTCCTGTCTGACTCTTAGCAACCCCGTGGACTGCAGCCTACCAGGCTCCTCCGTCCATGGGATTTTCCAGGCAAGAGTACTGGAGTGGGGTGCCACTGCCTTCTCCGGAGGAAGAAGACAACCATATTTAGACCTTGAGACCCTTAAACTCCTATATCCTTGAAAATGTTGATTTGCACTTTTTGATTACTAATTTGTACTTATTGTTCCACAGTACATATTGAAAATTAATATTTTAAAGTTTAATTTCTCTTCCAAAATGATACAATTAACATATCACTGAAGCAGTACAGATTTAATAACCTATTTCTTTTCTTATTCCTACTCCAGGTAAGCAAGTATTAACAGTATACTATCAGTCCTCAGATCAGAGGTTTCTGCATTCATGGATTCAATCAACCAAGGATAAAAAATATTTTGGAAAAATTTCTTTTTTCTCTGGAAAGTTCCAAAAGGTAAAATTTGAATTTGCCAAGCACTGGCAACACTTAGGTAACACTTACATTGTATGTAAAGCTATTTATATAGTATTTACATACTTCATTGAATTATCTTGGTACTTTTGTAGAAAATCAGTTGACCATGCATGTATGACAGGCTTTCCAGGGGGCTCAGTGGTAAAGAACTTGCCTGCCAATGTAGGAGATGAAAGAGACTCGGGTTCATGCCCTTGGGTAGGGAAATCCCCTGGAGAAGGACATGGCAACCTGCTCCAATATTCTTGCCTGGGAAATCCCAAGGACAGAGGAGCCTGGCAGGCTACTGTCCAGGGAGTTGCAAAGAGTTGGACATGACTGAACATACACATGCATGCACACGTTGATGTATGGGTTGATTTCTGAACTTTAAATTCTGTTCTACTGATCTTTATGTCTATCTTAATGACAACATCACAGTCTTAGTTACTATAGCTTTGTAGTAAATTTTGGAATTAAGCGTGCATCCTTCCAACTTGGTCTTTCTTTTTCAAGGTTATTTTGGCTACTGTGGGTCCCATGCATTTCTACATGAGTTTTAGGATCAGTTTCACATCTGTCTCCTGGTGAGACCCTAGAAGGCAAGGCATGTCTTGGAGTCATCTTCATGACCTGCTTGATTAGTTGCATGTGTGGCCCATTAGTACACATCAACAGCTGTTGAACTCAATGAAATATTATAGGGATTTTTGTCTTGAGTATAGAGGGAATTTCCACCTGGAAATAATGCTAGGTATTCGTTTCAGTTCCAATGCACTGAGCTGCAAGTAGCAACTACAAAACAATTAACAATGGCCTAAATCACAGGATATTTGTGGCTTACTGGGGGCTTCCCCGGTGGCTCAGAGTGTAAAGAATCTGCCTGAGATGCTGGAGACCCGGGTTCAATCCCTGGGTCAGGAAGATCCCCTTTAGAAGGAAATGGCAACCCTCTCCAGTATTCTTGCCTGGAGAAGTCTATGGACAAAGAAGCCTGGTGGGCTACAGTCTGTGGGGTTCCACAGAGTCAGACATTACTGAGCAACTAACACTTTCACTCAACAAGGAGTCTGAAGGTAGGCAGACTCCAAGACACTCAGCAATTCAGTCACATCTATGTCTGTCCTTGCCCTCCAGTGTTCCCAATATTCTGGTCTTTTCTCATGCTTGTCCTCTCATCAGTAGTAGATAGATGGTTGCCATCATGCCAGACTCCATTTCCTCATGCCAGCATCATGAAGAAGAGTGAGGATGGTGATAAAGACTTTCTTTTCTGCAGGCTTTGTGAGTGATCCAAATGTGAAGCTGCCTCCCATATCACTGTCCAGAACTGAATCATGTCCTATCCCCAGCCTGGTCTTTGGGGAACGGGGATGAGATTACCATGATTCATTTCAGGGCATACCTTTCCTGAAATCCAGGTTAAGCAGGAGTGAGGTGTGATATATGCTGCAAAGAATAGTGCTTACCTCAAACCGAGTATATCTGATTCACAACATGGCATTTTTGTAGACTTAGGTAGTAACTCAACTGACATTGTTCCTTTGAAAAAATAAAATGGGTTCTCAGCACCAAAGAGAACTCCTGAAACACATTTGCAGTACAATCCAAAATACATGGAAATTCAAATACTTATCTTTAAAACTGTATGAATATAATTTCATCGTTTTTAGACTCATTTAAAAGTATTTTAGAATCTTTCAGTTTGAGGACCAAATATGAACATAAACTATCAAGGTGTAGATATTTAAAAATGATGGTTAACAGAGTTTACTCCAAGAAAATCAAGGAACCTTGTCAATTCTCTGTTTGTTCATTTGTTCTGTCCTCAAAAAAGGTGGGATTGGGGCTTCCCTGGTGGTCCAGTGGTTAAGAATTCATCTGCTAATGCAGGGGACACAGGTTCCATCCCTGGTCTGGGAGGATCCCACATGCCACAGGGCAACTAAACCCCTCTGCCACAACTGAGCCCAGAAATCTATAGCCCATGCTCCAGAACAAGGAAGCCAAGGCAATGAGAAGCCCAAGCACCAAAACTAGTGACTAGCTCCCCACTGGCGGCAACTAGAGAAAGCCTGCCCACCTGTCAAGGACCCAGTGCAGTCAAAAAAAAATAACTCAGACGATAAAGAATCTGCCCACAACGCAGGAGATGAGGGTTAGGAAGATCCCTTGGAGAAGCGAATGGTAACCCACTCCAGTATTCTTGCCTGGAGAATTCCATGGACAGAGGAGCCTGGTAGGCTACTGGAGTCCGTCCATGGAGTCATAAAGAGCTGGACAGGACTGAGTGACTTAACACTTTTTCACTTTCAAAAAAACCAAAAAAGGTGAGATTACCTGCTGTTCATAAACTCCATTGGGTACCGGCCATAATGGCTCAAGGAACTAAGGTCACAGACAGTGAGTGGCAGAATCTCATCTCTCGTCTCCAGATCCAGCGCTCATCCTGCTTAACTGCAGGAGACTCGATCAACAAACATGGTCTGCGAGCCCATGACCTGGCAATGTCCCAGATATTTCTGTCTGGAGCTTGGAATGAATTTCCACCTGGAAGAATGCTATGTATTCGTTTTAAGGGTGTGACTGTGTCCGGGAGAGCCAGGGAAACCCCGGGGAAGGTGAAAGTCTAATGGGGTGGGCACGGAGGACCAGACCACGAAGGTTCTAAGCACCTAAAGTGGAATCACAGGGTATCCAACGTCAGGGACGCGCAAGGTCAGGGGGCTGAGCCGCCCGGTGCCCGCCTGGAGGCGCTGTCACCACCGCACCCTGGGCCACTCTCCCTGCCGCGGGCCTCCAGCCACAGGCGTCGCTGTGCGCTCGCGCGGGCACGGGAGCCGCGTTCCGCGGGGAGCAGGCGCTCGCGGTGTGCAGGGGTTTCAGTTTCTGGCGCGAACTTCCGCCGTTCCGAAGTTGCTGGGAGGCTTCGCGCGATGTCCGGAGACAGCAGCGGCCGCCGGCCCGAGGGCCGGGGCCGGGGCCGCGATCCGCACCGGGATCGCACCCGCTCCCGCTCCCGCTCGCGGTCCCCGCTGTCGCCCGGGTCCCGCCGCGGCGCCGCGCCCGAGCGCAGGGAGGCCCCGGAGCGCCCGGGCTTGGAGGATACCGAGCCGTCGGATTCCGGGGACGAGATGATAGACCCGGCGAGCTTGGAGGAGGAGACCGACCCCAGCCTCTGCCGCCAGATCCGCCATCAGTACCGGGCGCTCATCAACTCGGTCCAACGTAAGGCGGGAGCGCGAGGCGGGAACCGCGCGCAGGCCCTGCGCGGCCCGGCTGGTTCGCTGCGCCCAGGACCAGCCCCGTGCCGCCCGGCCGCGCCCGGATTCGGGGTTTGCGAGGCGCTAGCGCGTTGGTCGTGGTGATCGCACCGCACGACCTTGGCGGGGCGCGACCGCCCGAAGCCGGGCGCTGTCTGGAAGCGGGGGAGAGGAGGCAAGCGGAGCCGGGGCGCATTTTCTTACATCCAGCGGTTCCCCGCCGGCAGTCGCCCGCCCGCGGCAGCTGCCAGAAATGTAGATTCTCCAATGTACCCTGGACCTACCAATTCTGAAACTCTGGGTGGCCCGGCTCTGCAAGCTGTGGCTTGCAGAGTTGGAGAACCCTTCTATTAAGAGCGTCCTCAGAGGCTGCAGAAGGCGTGGAAGCTCATGGGTGAAGGTTAGGGGGAGCGAAGTGGGTCCCCTTTTCAAGTTCATTCTGCTAAAGGGGTACAGTCATCTTTTCTGTTTTCAGGCCGTTTTGGTTGAAGAGATACAGCTTGAAAGCAATTCCACCGGGGAGCGGGGGTGGGGGTGGGGATGAGGGCGGGGACTTGGCTCTCCAGATGCAGCTGGTCTCTTTGTTAATGACTTGTTAGCCTATGATGAGCACCTTTCCCAAAGCTTGTATTTTTTTAAAATAGAAAACCGGGAGGATATATTGAATGCCAGCGACAAGTTAACAGAGGTCCTTGAAGAGGCCAACAATCTCTTTAATGGAGGTAATTCATTATTTTATGAAAGGAAGCTTTCTGTGATCATATATTTTAGGGTAATTTTAATTAGTTTTGCATGAGAACCGAATGCTTGACACAGACAACCCCCATATTTATTTATGAGTGCTTTACTAGTTTTGGAATCTTTTTCCTTGTAGCACCACTACTACTTTCATGGTGCACTTATCAGCCCCTAAACAGGTAGGAAGGGCTTTACGTGAAGTTTGGGATGGGGGTGGGGAGCAGCAGCCAATTTTAACAAGCGCCCCAGGTGATTCCGTGGCTTGTTCAAGTTTGAGAACCTTCTGGGTAGTATCTTTCTACTGTATTGACTGCTGAGAACTTTGATATCTTATCTTTCTACCCTACTGACTACCCAGGATGCATTGGATGTATTAAAGAAAGAACTGAGCTGGCTTCTGACATCCTGTTTCTTTTCCTGCCTTCCTCCCGACCTCCGTCCCTAAGCTCCTTGCTCTTGGTCCACCTGGTGTAACCCAGTGGGGATGGCCCTGTCTACAGGTGGCCCTACTGGTCTCCAGTGAGGGGAGGGGCCCGAGAGAGAGAGAGAGAGAGAGAGAGAGAAAAGAATCTCAGCGCTGATCTCTAGACCACTGTGGGTGTGGGGGGGGGGGGTGGGGGCGAAGGGGGCTCTGAAATAAAAGCTTGGTTTGAATGAAAAGCAGCAGCAGTGTTAGTGCTAAGAGTGGTCTCTGCGTTTGAAGACAGGACAGGTCAGGCATGCCCCTGATGGTGTGGGCACTGGGTCACTGAGCCCGGGACAAGTCCTCAGCCCACTTTTCCCTCCTGGCCTTTCTCTAAATTCTGTGGGAGCAGAAAGGGAGAGTGCAGACCCATGCAGGTGGAGAAGTCAACAGAGCTGGCCGCTGCCTGGACACCACCACTCCACGTGTTCTCTAAGGACCAGAACATTTCTTTCTTTTCACCTGGTGCAATCCCTCCTCCACTCTCTCTAGCTTTTTCTTCTCTTCTGAGCTTGGACCCCCAGGCTGTCTCTTCAGGGTTGCTCTTGACCCCTTGTCCCCTTATTATTCACCCACCGCTGTAAAGTTGTTGATTAACAGATCATTTCCTGCTTGGCTGATTCCACTGTGCTGGCTGGGTCGCCTCTTTAAGGCACGGTTACTCACACAACCTGGCCCTAGGAGACGGTCAGCCAACAAAGAATTCTGTATCCGCCATATATACAGATTGGATGTTCTGTAACTCTCCAGAGGCTTGAATCCATCCGTGGGAGTTTGGCACTTTTCTCACAGTTTGCATGGCAGGGACGGGCCAGCGGCGGGGAGGGGAGGTCTAGAACAGCCGAGGAACTACTCCTTAGCTTTGGCCTTTTCTCTCATTCATTGTCACATTCACAGTAATTCTCCTGAAATAAAACTGGGGAGAAAATTATGCATATAAATACAAAACTTTGGGCAATCAGAAATTCAAATGAAATGGCCTTGAGGAGCAAGGCAGGCAGAGGGATTTGTGTGTTTGAACTCTACCGGGTTTGTCTCTTGGCTGCCTTTTCAGTTCGCCTTTGCTGGTGTTCCTGGAGTATGTTTCCACACTGCCTGTTCCCTTTTGGGGTCTGATCAAACCCATTCCCCTCAGTCCTGCTGTCTTCCTCCAATGAACCCTCCCCACCACCTCCCCAAACCTCATCCTCAGTTTCCTTGCCCCGTTTCTTGTCTCCTTTTATTTAAATCCTTTTCTGTCTGTAGCTTATCTTAAATGTTAAAAGATGAACCTTTTTGGACCATCCATCCTTACAGAGTTTATGGCCCTGCTGCCTGTAGGCTGTTCATTCCGTGGGACTTGTGCTGCTAGGCTGAGTCTGCATCTCCCGCTACCTGCCCAGCATGGAACTTCACCTGAAGCTCCTTGACCACTTACCTATTACCGTTCTGCAATCCTCCGTGCCCAAGCACAGCGCCTTACACACTGTGGGCATTCAGCTTCGCTTCCATCATCAACACAGGTGTTAATAGTGCCTAGATGAGTTACTGGAGTCCAAGGGAACAGCCAGTGTTAGACATGGTGGCAGTTTTGTTAAACTGGTTAATGAAGAGATTTTTATTCAGTTCCCAGGAGCAGGAACAGTGTGGTAGAGAGAGCTGACTTTTTAGGAAGACTGGTCAGCTTTGATTTCAGATTTTGGTGAGCTGAGCAGGGGAACCTGTTTTTAGACAGAGATTAGTGTGTTTGAGATTTTTTTTTGGTCCAATGGGAAATGGGGAATAAGTGCAGTTGAAAGTTTTGGGAAAATGCCTGTGGATAAACATGTATGTTGTAACGTGTGTCTTTTTCTTCTTTTTTGAATAGTGTCCCGAGCAAGAGAAGCAGTCCTAGATGCCCACTTTCTTGTTCTGGCTTCAGATTTGGGCAAAGAAAAGGCAAAGCAGCTGCGTTCTGATCTGAACTCATTTGATATGTTAAGATATGTAGAAACTCTAGTAAGTTCAAAGCTACAGAATCATAATAAAAAATGTTTCATCTGTCACATATTGTATAATTATCCACTTTGCTTATATCCATATACAGATGGTTTTCACTTCATTCTCCCTTTTGTTTGGGCCTGAGATTCCTCCAGAGAGATCTTACCAAATTAAACACATGACAGTTGAACTATGTGGTAGAATCTAGATTGGGAGTTTAGAGCAGCTTGAAAATCTCCTAGCTTTCTAAGACTCAGGGTGCTATGTTTATTTCAAATGGCCATTTTTCCCCTCACTCAGTTGTCAGTTCATGGGTTCATTCTCAGTGACCTGGGACCTTTGTCCGAGGCTGGGCAGAAGCCCCAGGCAGGCAAAGTGCAGCTGGATATGAGTAAAGTCTGGTGTAGGGGCATGTTTTGATTTGTCTTTGAGAATATTTCAGAACCATACGAATATGACTGGGGTTCTGCTTTTGTTTTTTGTTGTTGTTTTATTCAACTGTCTTTGCCTCTTAATATTTGAATGGTGGTTCCCTGAAATTTTGAAACTTTTGCTTGATGAATTTACCCCCAAAAAAGCACAATGAGATGAACTTTGTATTTTACTCTTGTTTTTTTTTTTTATCTTGGTTTTACTTTGAGCCAACTTCTGTCCTAGCATTTCTGTTAGGACATTGACTTTCTGTTTGTTAAAAGGTTATTAAAATGATTTAGTACCATAAGACCTGAACAGATAAATTATTTTGTAAAGGTATGAGGCAGATGAGGTTTTTGTTGTTTTCAAAACCTTAGATGTTTTAAAAAATTTAACTTACCAAAAAAAAAAATTTAACTTAAATTTAAAACCTTAAATTTTTCTTTTTTTAAAACTTGAAGTATAGTGCATTTTGGAAAATGCTCAATAAATGAAGTTGACTATATATTGGGTAATCCTTTAAAAAATTACTTTTATTTATCAGGGTGAGCTTTGTACTTTAAGTAACATATCAGTAAATTCTGTAAGTCTTTAAGCAGTCCATGCAGACCCTCAATTTAATAGCTGTCTAGACTCTGGCGGGAGGATTTTTTCAAGTATTACACCAAATATAAGGACTATAAAGAAAAAATTGGTAGATTTGACCAGATAAAAACTGAAATGTCTTCTTCCAAGTGTGCAGTGGTAGAACGGTTGGCAGGAGAATGGAACAGAGCTGACTTTGTCTCTCTGACTGGGTTCTGGCAGCCTCTCTTTTCTTCAAAGTTTAACCGCCTTTAAAGAGTTAAGCTCTCTGAGGACTTTTTGATTACTGTTTATATATGGTATTGCTGTTTTAATTTGATAACTTCTAGGCATTTCATAATTTATAATGTAATAAAAATGTACTTTCATAAAAGCAAATTTAATACACTTTCTGCAAGATAGCTTGAGATAAGAGAATTATTAGGCTTCCGCCAACTCTTCCCAGGAAGTCAGCTTTAAGATGAGTGAATCTCTCCCTGATGCCAGGTGCTGCTCCCTGGAAAACCTGATCTGCAATCTGATCAGGGGTCTCCAGGAGGTTGGCTGGAAATGAAAATTGAAAGCCAGCTAAACTTCCCAGTTCTATCCCACAGCATTTGCTTAGGGATGTCATTTCCTATTTTTCTGCTAATAGTTGTGTGTGATCGGGCCTAGTGAGCTTAGTTCTGGTATGCCAGTCTCTTGGCCTGCAGGGGGCTAGAGCAGGGTTTCTCAGCCTCAGCACTAAGGGCATTTTGGGCTGGTTGAGTCTTTGTTGTGGCGGGCGCCTGCTATAGGATGTTGAGCACTATCCTGGCTTCTACCTACTAAATGCCAGAAACACGGCCCGCCCTGCCACTCACCCAATTGTGACGATCAAGTGTCTCCAGATAGAATGCCTGGCGGGGTGGGGGGGGGCTGGGGGTGGCGGTGTGCTTAAAATTGCTCTGGTTGAGATCCGTTGGTCTGGATCATCTCTCTCTCTCACCAAAAAGTCCTGAGTACCTTGAAGAATAGTTTCTGCCAAAAAGAAGGTGCCTTTGAAAACAGGAAATTTGTAATAAGACATTAAGCCAACATGTTAGGACACTGAAAACAGACTTTGCCTCTGGCCTGTTGTGTAGTGATAGAGATGATTGAGTACCGTGAATGATTGCTTGTGGCTTAACTGGGGTTTCTGTTTCCCTTCATTTTTGTAGCTGACTCATATGGGTGTAAATCCGCTAGAAGCTGAAGAACTCATCCGTGATGAAGATAGTTCTGATTTTGAATTCATAGTCTATGACTCCTGGAAAATATCAGGCAAAACAGCAGAAAACACCTTTAATAAAACCCATACATTCCACTTTCTGTAAGATTATTTTGAAAATCCGACAGACCAGCTATTTGTAAAGCTTAAATTGTATTTTATTGTAGGGACAACAATTATTTGGTATTGTAGAGGAGACAATCATGATGCCATCGCTCGGAGACTTTCCAAAGGTTGATTTAGAAGCCCGTAATATCTTGTGGATGGATCCTCATTCTGCTTAACTAAGGCAGGAAAGGCCGTGGGCTGGCACCTCATCAGGGCACTCTGCTGGCACCTTTGCTTTCTAGTGTGGGAGACTTTAGGTCTGTGACATAATGTCTGGCTTTATCATCTTTAAAAGTCCTTATTACATAGGAGGATGATACCTCCTATGAAAGGTATCTTAAGATTCTACCAATATATGTAAAGTGCCATTTATTATATATAATTCCCTGTTAGATGATTGCTGTCCTATATTTGAAGACTAGTTGAGTCACTGTCACATAAACTGCCTAGTTCATCTTTTTTGGATACAGCTTTGATTTTGAAAAGCTTTTCTTTATACTCAAATGGAATTGGCTTCTGTCTTAATTTCCTAGCTCAGTCTTACTGAGAGGCTAAGAGCAACTCTTACTGGTTCTTTTGTAAGACAGCCTTTAAAATACCCAGTAGAAAAAAAAATAAATAAAAATAAAATACCCAGTAGATAATTTCTCCAGGGCAACCACTCAAGTGGTTTCTTCCTTAAGTGGATAACTTAGGGCATTTGTCTTTTCTGATTGCCCTTCTAAACCTCCTGAGATTGGTAGTGCCTCAGTTAGAAGGCTTTGGAGATGCAGATTTAGTAAGTCTATGGTGTGGGACCAGGCATCTGGGTTTTTTTCCTATTTCCCAAGGCATCTATTTTTAACAAGACTTCCCTTAATTCAAGTGCCCAGAATCACTGTATATTACAGCAAAAAGATCAAACTTCTTTATTATAGGAAAAGTCTAAATCTTTTTTTTTTTTTTTGCTGTTGAATTAGGCTCCACCATAAATGTAGGATCTAAAGATAGCCTTTTGGGAATTCCCTGGTGGCCCAGTGGTTAGGACTCCGAGCTCTCACTGCTGAGGGTGTGGGTTCAGTCCCTGGTCGGGGAACTAAGATCCCCAAAGCCTCGGGGCATGTCCAAAAAAATGAAAGAGAGATAGCCTTGGGTTGCATAACTTAAACCCTTTGTCATCTAGCCCAATTTGCGGCCGCAGGGATTTACTCACAACTTTACAGCCTTGTACTTGCTGTTGCCTTGGCCTGCAGTGGCCTTTCCCCCATGTTTTCTTTCCATCTGGTGAGGTGTGCTTGGGCTTCTCAGTTCACCTTAGTGGTAAAGAAGCCGCCTGCTAATGCAGGAGATGTAAGAGACTCGGGTTTGATCCTGGGTCTGGAAGATCCCCTGGAGGAGGGCACCACAACCCACTCCAGTCTTCTTGCCTGGAGAATCCCATGGACAGAGGAGCCTGGAGGGCTACAGCACACAGGGTTGCAAAGAGTCAGACACGACTGAAGCGACTTAGCGCACACATAGGATCTCTACAGTACACTTTGATTTCCTCCAGTGTAGGGACCACAGGGGACTAAATTCCCTGGGCCCTGGTTGTTTCTGCCTGGTATGTCTGTTACTATAGGGCTTTTTTGGGAGGTGGAGGAAGTCCAAAAGGGACAGGAATCCCATGGCCTCTGCCTTACCTGTTGTCTCTTAAGACAGGTGTGTTCTGGAGTCCCAGTTAGTGGGGCTCTGCTCTGGCACCCCCAGACCAAGAGGCTTTTTTAACCCCAGTGGGGCTATTCATCCCCGTCCCCCACACACGTTCATCCTTCCCCTGATCTCTGAAGCTGGCTCTGCGAAACAGACAACAGGCTTGCTGGGAGGACCACAGGCATTGACTGACTGACTGTTGAGAGTAAAATATAAAGGTGTTGAGGAGGAACCTGGCTGAATTCTTTGAGAAACACAGAAGGAGCAGAAAGGTTGTCACAAACCCGACAGTCTTGGTCTGAGGTCACTCGTACACCACTGATGGCTGGTCTGAATTTGAGGATGCTGTGGGAACCGCTTTCAGTTAGTGAGATCAGTTTGTTTTAAAAACAAAGACATGAAAGCATATTTTTCATTAGGTTGGGTTCAATACAAGGAGAGTGCCCTGTGCCAAAGCCACGAATTGAACGTCCAAGAAAAGCTCGTATGATACAAGAGCAGCAGGCAATGCCTGCCCAGGTTTGTTTGTTCAAATGTTGCTTTTTTAAACACTTAATTTAAAATAGCCATTAGTATCATATGCATGTAATTTAGCCATCTTTTCTCAGCTTTTGGGTCTGGAGTCAGGTTCTGTCACTTAAAAAGTAATCATTTAATGTTTGAATCATTTTTGATGTGTTTAAGTCTTTAAACATTTTATTGGATTGACCACTTGTCTTAGTTCTTAACTCATTTCTGTAGTATGGATTAGTTCTCCCAAAACAGGTTTCTTAACTCAGGCACTATCGGCATTTGGGGCTGGATAATTCTTCGCTGTGAGAGGCTCCCTGTGCATTATAGGATGTTTAGTAGCATCCTTGGCCTCTTCCCACTAGATGCTAACAGCCTCCTCTCATAGTTTTCTCTCCCATCCCAAGTATGACAATCAAGTGTTAGAAAATGTCCCATCGGTGGGGTGGGGAAGGGGCTGCAGAAAAATCACTCCCTGGTTAGAACCACTGTTCTAAACTGCCCTTTTTATAATTTGCTATTTTACATTCAACCTGAAAATGATTGATTTGTTACTGTTATTCCTCTACTAGATAATTCATATGAAAATGTTACTAGACCTAGAAAAATCTTTTTTAACTATTAATTTTAAGACAGGAATAAACACTTAGAAATCCTAAGTAAAAGATATTTAGAGGAGTTTGGCCGGGGAAGAGAGCAGAAAAGGTTAACAGGCAGGCAAGTAGGTCAGTCTGCTTGATAACAGCTTTATATTTTCAGTTAAAAAGAATGGAAGAGTCTCATCAAGAAGCAACAGAAAAAGAAGTAGAAAGAATCTTGGGATTGTTGCAAACATACTTTCAAGAAGATCGTAAGTATGATACCAAGCTCAAAATGGAGCAATCTGTATTTGTCAGTTAGGCTCGTGTCATTTGCAATGAGAAGCTATTTTTATTTAAAAGGCATATGTGTAATGCTTGAATCATTTTGATTTTTCTTGACATGTCTTTTATGAGACTTCTCTCCAGAAATCCCATGAGAACATTGGTGAAGGAAATTCTCCTTTTTATTTTTCAAAGACAGGATTTTTTTGGGGGGAGGGGGGGATATTTTTTCTGTTACAAAATAATACATGCCAAAGACGTGAGAAAAGTAAAAAGTCAAGTACCTGTTCTACCTGACCTCACTCCCTCGAGGTCGCCACGTATAAAATGTGATGTGTGTATTTTCAGACTTTCCTACGTCTATGTCAGTCATAATAAATATGCAACTAAGTAGTTGGGATTTTTTTTTTTTTGTTAGTGGTGGTGGTGTTTTGCTTTTTTCAAAAAAAATAATTCACACATTCGTCTGCAACATGACTCGTCCATTTGGACATTTTCCCATATTGATACATGCAGATCCAGCTTACTCTTTTTCGTGATTCCCATTGGGTGACTGTATCATACATTTAAGAAATCCTCTATTAGTGGGCAAGTTCTTTATAGCATTTTTCTCTTGTACAAACTGCTGGAGTGAAAAATCTGGGCACACAACTCTGTGCAAGTATTTCTGTAGAACGGCTTTTTAAAGGAGGATTGCCAGGGAAGGGGGCATGCAGATTTTTAATAGATATACCAGATTGTCCTCCAGCAGGGTTGTATTGATTTCCATCCCACAACAGGATGAATGCCCATTTCCTTTCTCTGGTTAACACTAGAGAATACTGGTCTTGATTGGTAGGCGAGAGTAATTTTTCCTCCACTGAAGGATTTTTTTCCTCTTTTGTCTTCAGCTGATACTCCCATGTCCTTCTTTGACTTTGTGGTTGACCCACATTCTTTCCCCCGGACAGTGGAAAACATCTTTCATGTTTCTTTTATTATAAGGGTAAGATTTAAGATTATTTCTCTGTTTCTCTTTGCTTTTAAGAGAGTAAATAATAACAGGTATAGATGGGAGGTGGCTAAGAAATTTGCACTAACCAGTGTGTGTTTTAGACCCATTGTAGCAAAACACTGACTAGTCACAGGCCAAAGAAACTAGCTAAAAAATTCAGTGCTTGCTTTTACATTTTAGAAAATTTTGGAGCTTATAGGTTAGGTAACTATGTGATATAAATGTTAAATTTCCCAATTTTGTTAGTTGTTATGTAAGAAAATACCCTTGTTTTCAAGAAATACACACCGAAGTTGTAGAGAAAAGGGCTTCCCAGGTGGCACAGTGGTAAAGAATTCGCCTGCCGGTTCAGGAGATGCAAGAGATGCAGGTTTAATCCCTGGTTTGGAAGATCCCCTGGAGACGGAAATGGCAAACCACCCCAGTATCCTTGCCTGGAGAACTCCGTGGAAAGAGAAGCCAGTCCATGAGGCGGCGAAGAGTTGGACACGACCGAGTGACTACGCTTTCACTTTCAGAGAGAGAGAGCAGCGATGTAAATATGGCAAAACATGGACAGAGAGCAACGAATGTATGGGAGGTCTTTACAGTAGTCTTGTAACTCTTAAGTTTGAACTAATTTCAAAACAGATGGTTTAGGAGAAAAAAAAAGAAAAATTCTCAGAAATGTACCTTGAGAATTTTCTCTAGGCTGTCTTTAGTCTTATGTCCGGTTGCAATCCTGCACTTCTAAGATGAATTCGATTTTAAGCTTAGGCAGAAAATCTTGTGTTGACAAAAGCATTTTTTCAGAAATGATAACTAAAGCATACTCTGTCAATGGTCAGTGATAGTATTATGCACCATAAAATGTGCTGTGTTCAGGAACTCCCTGGCGGTCCAGTGGTTGGGGCTCCTCGCTCTCACCGCTGAGGGCCTGGGTTCAGTCCCTGGTGGGGGACCTAAGATCCCACCAGCTGCATGGCTCGGCCAAAAAAATAGTCATAATAATAAAATGTGGAGGACTCAGAAAGTATGAATCAGTCAAAGAGTCAAGATGGTTGCAGTTTTATTTAAGAGATCTTGGGGATGAGGTTGTGCCTGGGTAAGCGAGCTGATTAAAACCTGAAAGATACCCCATGTAGAGAGAAATGTTAGAGAAGGCTTGTCTGTATACACTCCTTGTTATTGTTATGGTATATTTTGATTGTCTAAGATTTAGAATTTTCTCATTGAGTAATTTTTTCATCCAATGGCTGTAGGTTTTGAATCTAAATTTTAGTCTTTGTGTTACAGGATGGTTTTGCAAGAATAAGACTTGACCAAGACCGACTGCCAATAATAGGTAAATGATTCTATGTCCAGAAAAGTTAGTTTTAAAGAAAATGTATTTGTTACTGGAGGGTGTGAAATGTATTTTATTAAATGTAAATTGAGTTTTTATTTTAGGCAACAAACTTTTACAGTGTCTTCCTCAACTAACTGAAAATACTGAAAACTTGATCATAGTTTAAAACTGATGGATTCAGTTCTGTCATTGATTCAACAGCTACTGCTGTGAAGAATAATAAGAAATGGTATAGTTTCCCTTAAATTTTAGTTTAGAAAGTCTGTAATTGCAGTTATTTTTGTAGTTTCCTTCTTTCTATTTTATCCCTAATGCCAGCTCCTCCTCTCCAGAGAATTTTTTTTTCTTATTTTTTTGCCTCTTTTATTTACAAGTTTCATTTAAATCTCTCTCACAGTTAGAAAATTGATGTCAAAAAAGGACACTGCTATACAATTTACAAATGTCAGTAAATATTAAAGACCATGGTTAATACAGAGAGAATCTTAATTTTGTTGAATGATTCACATTCTCCATTACTCTTTGCCTTCTAAGACCTCCTGTACAGAATGAAGTGTTTTCATTGCATTTACCTGTTCCTTTAAAAGTTCTTACTTTCATACTGGACGCACTAGACTTTAGCTCTGTGTTTGGTTCATAGATATGCAGAGTTTTTCAAATGATTGGAATGTGTTATTTTACCATATGTATTTTTTTTTTTTAAATGGAAGCAAGCGGGGTTACTTTCTATTGTAACAGAACAACACTAATGCATGAATTCCTAATAAGGATATAATATTCTAAACGTCTGCTTGGTACAGGTGTCATTCCTATTATTCATTGGTTTCTGTTCAGATTACCTCCTCTGATTTGAAAACTTTGCCTCTCAAACAGAGCCTGTTAATATTAATGAAGAAAGTGGAGGAATTGACCAGAATACTCAAATTAGGAATCAAGGAATTATAGCTTTGAGTTATCGAGACTGGGAGGTAAAGCCCTGCATGTTACCCCGGGCAGTTTGTTTCCAAGAATTCCTTTGCTGTAAACCCAGTGCCCACATGCTCTCTGTTCTCTACCAGGAGATTGTGAGGACCTTTGAGATCTCAGAGCCTGTGATTTCTTCAAGTCAGAGCCGGCAGAGGCTAAGTGCTTGACACCAGCTGAAGGTAACATTTCCCATGGGACAGCTGCATGTATTTATTATAGTTTCTCACTCTTTCATCTTCTGGTGAAATTTGCATTCTGTTTCCCTCTAGGGCCCCATTCTTAAAATTGTGTGTAACTGGTGAGAAGGGCAGAACCTGACCTAATGGTTGCAAGTTCCCACCTTTGGATTGATTACTTTGGTGTTCTTAAGATGTGCAGTTGAAAGAGACAGAGCAGAGGTTGTTCTTGGTTTGGCATTCTCCCCTCCCCTGCAACAAATGAATAAATGAGATAATGGAACATTGAATCCTCCCATCAGTTTTGCTCACTGTCCCATTAGGTTTGCTTACTTTATGCAGACAAAGTAGAAAAGGAAAATTAAAATAGAACTACCTTGGAATGATGTTGGTAATGGGCATTTCTGAAACCTAAGTTTTGCTTATGAAATAATTCTCCATTTTTATAAAGGAGATGGGGAAGGGAATCTGAGAAATGACCTGGTATTCTGTACTGCACACTGCTGTGGGTGGGGATCAGGAGATGGGATCCTGTTGGCCCTGCCCTTTTAAAATGTCAGGCAAGTCAGTCTTCCTCTGCTTTGTTTTCCTTCTCTATAAATCTGTAAAATGGGATTCTGAGTTAGATAGTTAAAATTAGCTTTTCAGTACTTAGTGTAAACTCTTAATATATGCTTCAATTATTTGAGCTTCTTTTGTTCCAAGGTAACTGAAGGGAAGAGGAGAACTGACATAAGATCTATACTGTGGGTTTACCTGGGCCCTCACTGAGGAGGGGCTGGTTGGTAGATTTCCTTTATGCATCTTAAATGAACTTCTGATTTACCATTTATAAACTGTTAACCAGCTCTTTCCCTCCTTTGTTTTTTAGGACTCATGTGGATTCTCCCATCCAAAAAGGAAAGCAGCATGTATTGTACATATTGTATGATCAAACATTTTTAAAGAGATTGTTTTTAATAAAATGTAGATTTTGATAGTTAATGAATTTGTCATGTTTGTCTTTGATTAAAGGAAATTCATTGCCATATGAACACATAATTGCAGTCATTCTGTATTTTCTCTTCTTGGGAGAGTTTCTGCTTTATCTAGCCCTATCCCATTGAAAGTTTTAGTTAGGTTGCTAAGGGCTTAATGATCATTATGGTTCTCTGTGCATCTTTTTTAGCTGTAAAGTTAGCCAGTCAGGTCAACACTTATTAGGTTGTACCATATGAAATTGTTTTCGTAAGTAAGATACAGTCAAGTATCAGCAATTTTATCTGCTTCAGCCTGTGATTTACACACAAGGAACTGTTCAATCCTCTTTCAAGCCAAGCCAGACCACTTTTGGGGGCAACGCCAACCCTGGATTCATCTTACCAGCAGTCCTCTCTCTGCACCTGAGGGCTGCTGACTGCCACAGAGAAAACCCATGCCGCTTCAGGTCAGGTGATGCTGCTCCCTTGGGTGCTGGGCCATCAGGTCCTTCCCTGATGTTCTGAGTCCCAGCTGGTTCCTCTCCCCGCCCTTCTCCACCCATCCTTTCTCACTGCTTCCCTCTGATGTCAGAGGTAGCGGTGCGTCACCTGCAGAGGCTCTGGTCTCCTGCGTCCGCACCTCCAGGTCTCTGCTGTTAGTCATCCCTTCTCCACACCCAGCACTTGCCCCTCAACCCTGTTCATCTCTGTCTTCAAAAAATTGCTGTGACCCTTCTCAAGTTATCGCCTTTTAAAGTAACAATCACTTGCTGTCTCTCATGAGTGCTCCCATCACACTGTGGGGCACCTCCTTTCCCACCATCCTGCAAGGCTCGCTGTTGGTGACTCCTCTCCAAAACTGTTAAATCCAATGGATAAATGCTATGCATTTGACACCTGAAAACTTTACTTTCTGAAAACTGTACATCCTTTTACTTGGTTCTCTCCCTGGTTCCCCTTCCACTGGTTTAGGACTTTCATGATTTGTAGTTCATATGTATCCTGAACATTCCCCCAAATTTCTTTGACTAAACTTCTCTGAAAAGCCACAGATGTACATAACCAGTGGCTTGTTGGACAGCATATGGGCCTGTTTTTAAACATATGTGTAAAACAGCTACCAAAGCAAAGGAGAAGAGCAAAGATATACCCATTTGAATGCAGAGTTCCAAAGAATAGCAAGGAGAGATAAGAAAGCCTTTCTCAGTAATCAGTGCAAAGAAATAGAGGAAAACAATAGAATGGGAAAGACTAGAGATCTCTTCAAGAAAATTAGAGATACCAAGGGAACATTTCATGCAAAGATGGGCTCAATAAAGGACAGAAATGGTATGGACCTAACAGAAACAGAAGATATTAAGAGGTGGCAAGAATACACAGAAGAACTGTACAAAAAAAATCCACGATGCAGATAATCACAATGGTGTGATCACTCATCTAGAACCAGACATCCTGGAATGTGCAGTAAAGTGGGCCTTAGGAAGCATCACTACAAACAAAGCTAGTGGAGGTGACGGAATTCCAGTTGAGCTATTTCAAATCCTGAAAGATGATGCTGTGAAAGTGCTGCACTCAATATGCCAGCAAATTTGGAAAACTCAGCAGTGGCCACAGGACTGGAAAAGGTCAGTTTTCATTCCAATCCCAAAGAAAGGCAATGCCAAAGAATGCTCAAACTACCGCACACTTGCACTTATCTCTCACGCAAGTAAAGTAATGCTCAAAATTCTCCAAGCCAGGCTTCAGCAATACATGAACCATGAACTTCCAAATGTTCAAGCTGGTTTTAGAAAAGGCAGAGAAACCAGAGATCAAATTGCCAGCATCTGCTGGATCATTGAAAAAGCAAGAGAATTCCAGAAAAACATCTACTGCTTTACTGACTATGCCAAAGCCTTTGACTGTGTGGATCACAATAAACTGGAAAATTCTGAAAGAGATGGGAATACCAGACCACCTGATCTCCCTCTTGAGAAATCTGTATGCAGGTCAGGATGCAACAGTTAGAACTGGACATGGAACAACAGACTGGCTCTAAATAGGAAAAGGAGTATGTCAAGGCTGTATATTGTCACCTGGCTTATTTAACTTATATGCAGAGTACATCATGAGAAGTGCTGGGCTAGTGAAGTACAAGTTGAAATCAAGATTGCTGGGAGAAATATCAACCTCAGATATTCAGCTGACACTAACCTTATGGCAGAAAGTGAAGAACTAAAGAGCCTCTTGATGAAAATGAAAAAGAAGAGTGAAAAAGTTAGCTTAAAGCTCAACATTCAGAAAACTAAGTTCATGGCATCTGTTCCCATCACTTCATGGCAAATAGATGGGGAGACAGTGGCAGACTTGATTTTTTGGGCTCCAAAATCACTGCAGGTGCTGACTGCAGCCGTGAAATTAAATGACACTTACTCCTTGGAAGGAAAGTTATGACCAACCTAGACAGTATATTAAAAAGCAGAGACATTACTTTGCCAACAAAGGTCCGTCTAGTCAAGGCTATGGTTTTTCCAGTAGTCATGTATGGATGTGAGGGTTGGACTATAAAGAAAGCTGAGTGACAAAGAATCAATGCTTTTGAACTGTAGTGTTGGAGAAGACTCTTGAGAGTCCCTTGGACTGCAAGAAGATCCAACCAGTCCATCCTAAAGGAGGCCAGTCCTGACTGTTCATTGGAAGGACTGATGCTGAAGCTGAAACTCCAATATTGGCCACCTGATGTGAAGAGCTGACCCATTTGAAAAGACCCTGATGCCAGGAAAGATTGAAGTTGGGAGAAGGGGATGACAGAGGATGAGATGGTTGGATGGCATCACCGATTCAATGGACATGAATTTGAGTAAACTTCGGGAGTTGGTGATGGACAGGGAGGCCTGGTGTGCTGCAGTCCATGGGGTCGCAAAGAGTCAGACACGACTGAGCGACTAAACTGAACTGAAAACAGCTCCCAAATTTATTGTCCATGTAATCCCTGGATGGCACTTGTACTAATCAGAAACAAACCTAGGGTTTCTCTTCTTTTTTACCCCCACAGGCTCTGCCTTCATTGGTCCCTAATCCCCATCTGGCCTCTTGATTCTCTGCATCTTGCCCAGCTTTCTGCTACAGGCTCCCGTCTGTGTCCCCACTTCCTGTTTGTCCTTCAGATCTCTTCCATGTCTTCAAGACCACTTCTCAGTGTCTTAGTTTTTTCCCCACTGCCTTCGAGACTTGATACCCTGAGCTCTTTACCAATGTTCAAAGCCTCAGAGGATCAGGCCTTTTACCTGCATTTCCAGGCTTCCTTCCTCCTCTCTGAATTCTTGGTGTTGCTTTCATTTTGGTAAAACAGCTTTACTGAGATATATTTTACATATCATACTGTTCACCCATTTAAAATGTGTAATTCTGTTGTTTTTTAGTCCATCTGCAGGGTTGTGCAACTATCACCGCAATCTGGTTTTAGAACATTTTTGTTCCCACAACCCAGTAGTAGTCACTGCCCACCTCCATCCACTCTAAACCCTCAGCCCTATCCAACCACTAACTGCACTGTGTCTATAAATCTGTCTATCTTTTATCTTCATAAATTTGCCTATTCTGGACATTCTGCATAAATCCAATCACATCACATATGGTCTTAACATTTTATTTTCTTCAAGCATGTGTGTTTAGAGTCAATTTTTCCTCCATCTGCGTTCTACTTGTTTCAGACTCTAGTCATTAAGAATCCTAAAAATAAAAAAAAAAAAAAAAAGAATTCTAAAAGTGGTTACCTTTTGCAAACTAAGGTGGCAAAACTGTTCCTTTGCATTTTGTATCTTTCTGTAGTTGAGTTTTCCATGTACTTTATTGTTATTTTTTAAAAAAATTATCAACAGAAGTTATCCGGACAGGGAGATTATCAGCCACTTAATTCTTTAACTCTCTGAAGAGAGGGGAAAAAAACAAAACTAATATGTTCTCAAAAAATCAAACTCATGTAACATCCCCCAAACCCCTTTTCCTCTGGAACAGGAGTCCCCAGCCTCTGGGATCTCATGCCTGGTGATCTGAGCTGAAGCTGATGTAACAATAATAGAAGTAAAGCGCACAATAAATGTAAATACATTTGCATCATCCTGACACCTTCCTGCTTGCCTTCCCCCGGGCTTGTGGAAAACTGTCTTCTGTTAAACCAGTCCCTGGTGCCAAAAAGGCTGGGCACCGCTGCTCTAGGACGCGGTGTTCTAAAAGCATATTGCGCCTTCCTCAGTTACTCTGGGCTCCTCAGGCTGTTTGCTTCCAGTGAAGTCCGCCCCGCCCCCCCCGCCGCCAGAACTGAATAAGTCTGTGCCTCATTCCTGTGCTGATGGTGGCCGGCAGGAGGCTGGCATCAGTGTTGAGTTTCTCCTGTTCTGACCGCCCAAGGAGCTGTCATCCAAAATGCATTCTCAGACCCCACATCTGCCACCAACTGCCACCCTCCTCTCGTCCTTATGGTCAGTGTACCTTTTTATATCGTAGACTTGGACATAGCTTTGTTTTATTTCATCTGCTGTTCTCTTCCCCAATAGACGTAAGCCCCTTAAGGGGCTATGTTCTCGAGTCTCTGGGCAGGTCTAAGGCTTAGACGCAGGTGGTTGTTGTTGAGTCGCTAAGTCATGTCCAACTCTTTTGTGACCCCATGGACTAGCCCGCTGGGCTCCATGGGATATCCCAGGCAAGAATACTGTATTGGGTTGCCATTTCCTACTCCAGAGGATCTTCCCAACCCAGGGACTGAACCCATGTCCCTGCGTTGGCAGGCAAACTCTTTACCAACGAGCCATCAGGGAAGCCCTGGGCCCAGGTACATGATGTCCAATTAAATTTTAGGTGCATTGGAAAACACAAGACAGTGTGTTGTCTGCATTGTAATTCTAACTTTTACACTCTGTGTCTAGAGAGGGAGCCAAGGTTCTTTAGTCAAGATCAATGCAGAAGCTGTGGAAATGCAGGTTTCTTTGTATAAAAATATTTGTTCCTATGAGTAGTGCTCACATAAAAGAAAAATGAAAAGTATAATAAAGGATAGAGGTGTGTGATAGACTTTTTTAGAGGTTTGGGGTGGTAGGTTGAAATAAGCCCATGTTTTTTTGAGACAAAAAGTCTGCTTCTCCCCCTTTGAATGTAGGCTGATCTTGGTGGCTACTTTGATTAGTAGGATAAGCAGAAGTGATGTTCTGGGACTTCAGGGCCTAGGTCATAAGAAGACTTTGTAGCATTTGACAGGCCTCTTGGAGCCCTGAATCACCAGGTAATAAGTCCAACTACTACATGGCCCTTAAACTACCTGGGGAGGGAAGCCAGGGAGAGGGACCAGCTAGGTTCAGCCTTCTAGCTATCCATTCTAAGCCATCGGGGACCTACAGACTAGTCCAGCCATCACCTGAATGTTTCCAAGCATTGCCAGTGGTGCTACATGGGGGCAGAAAAATGGCCCAGCTGAGCTCTGCTGGAATGCCTGCTACAGAACTGAGATAAAATAAAATGGTGGTGATTTTAATTCACAAGGTTTTGGGTTAGCTATACAGAGAGCTGCAACATTGGGAATGCTGAGCTCGTGGTTTAACCTCTTTTTTTTTTTCAGTGCCATGCATTTAGGAACAATATTAGAAGATATTAAATTTTACTGCACCAACATCTATGAAGGTATGCTCACCTGAAAAAGAAATACAATAATCTAGAAAATAATTTAAACTTTGTTTTTGTAGTTGACTTCTCAAAAATGATGGTATACTCAAGAGCTCTCTTCAGAGTGGTTTTCCAATTTTACCCTCTTTTTTGGACTTTTCCATCAGAATGGTCACTTCTAAAAGTGCTTCCGCATAAGGCTGGACAATGGGATAGGTGGTGACCCATTCATATTCTTTTACTTCCTTTTTCTTCACTTGAGGTTTCAAGAAAGGGGGAGCTTGTGCAGGTATTTTTTGAGCAACTTGTTGACTATTTCTTTTCTCCGTAAGTTCTCTCCCTAGAATCATTCGCTCTTGATGTCCCTTTATCTGTTTCTTTGCCCAGGCCACCCTGTACTGCTTGGCCTTAATTTTGTGTGTTTTCTGGATGTTTTCAGTGTTTTCATCCTTCTTCTGGTTTAATACTTCGTGGGAAGGAATTTCATCTGAGATGCTTTGAGGGAGCAGTTGATAATTCTGGTCTCTGAGGCCTCTGGCTTGTTCAGCTCGGTGTATGTGTTTCTGTATCTGGTTCAGCTCTCTCTCAGGCACTAGATAGTGCCATTTTTTAGCATCTTCTTTTTTTTCATTGTGTGGTCTCCTTTCCTTTTCTTCTGTTTTAATTTCCCCTTCTGGAACCATTTTGTGTTTACATGCTTCTTCCAGCATTTCCTGGTAGTGTTGATAGTAGTATGCCTCTGCTTGGGCAAACCGGAAGTCAAAAGACATGGCCTTAAGTTGATCAAGTCTTTCATTCTCCTGTTGAGTCTTTTGGGCTAACAATTTCCTCACCTCTGAAGAATGGACACCACCTAAACTCTTGTCAAAGGGAAGTATTAGAACTCTTTTAAGTTGGCTGTCCTTTATTATCTAAACAGATTGGCAGTTCTCAGTTAGCCATTAGCCCTGCCTGGCACCCTCACACTATGTCCCAGTTAGGGTCTTGTAACTGCTTCCTGTCTTCCTCTTCAAGACCCCTCCCCTGCCCTCCCCCTGCATTCCCTTACATCCTTGAAAAACCAGAAGCAGGCCCTCAGGAACTCCTCCCACTGCAGGAACAACCCCATGCATCTATCTTGGACTCTGCCTCCTGCCCTTTCACCTATCAAAAGCCAGTTCTGGGACTTCGCTGGTGGTCCAGTGGTTATGAATCTGTCTGCCAATGCAGGGGACACAGGTTCGATCCCTGGTCTTGGAAGACCCCGCATGCTGTGGGGCAGCTAAGTCTGGGCACCCTAGAGCCTGTGCTGTGCAACAAGAGAAGCCACCACAATGAGAGGTCTGTGCACTGCAACAAGAGTAGCCCCTGCTCACCGCAACTAGAGGAAGCCCGCGTGCAGTGATGAAGGCCCAGTACAGGCAAAAAAATAAACGTCAGTTCTTCCACCTCTGTTTGTTGAGCTTCGAGAACTTCAGTTTACAACGATCAAATTCCCTTCCCTGCTTTAAAATTTCCTGTCTACTGGATCAATCCATCAGCATAAAATTATGCTTTCGTATATATCATCTTCAAACAAAAAAAGGAAAATGCTTCCTCTACAGCCCGTCCCCTCTTTTGCTCCCCTTCACTGTGTAACTTGAAGCAGTTACCTCTTAAGTTTGGCTTCCACCCTCCCCCCCACCCCCTCGTCTGGGTCACCAGTGATCTTGTTTTTGTGGCTGTCACGTGAGCCTCTCAGCAGCATTCTCCAGAGGGGACCGCGCTCTCCTCCTTGGAATACTTTACTTCCAGGCTGTAGCCGAGAGCATCTGACTAAGGCTACGCTGGACCCCTGCGCTACTCCAGCCCTTAGCCGAAAGTCCCCAAGTAACTGAGTGGTCCCTCATCCTCTTCCTACCTCCTGGCCACCCCCTCCACCTGCTTCACTGGCTGCCTTCTACATGTAATGGAGCAAAGTGTAGCAGAGAAACTCTACTTAGGACAGAGAACAGTCACATTCGGGCTTCCTTGGACCAAGACAGACAGTCTTGATTATTCAACGAGTGATGTACCGTGCGTCTGGCACTGGAGTGGGAGTGAGGGGTGAGCGAGACCGTCGGGGCACACAGGCTGCTCGGAGCTCACCTCCGCTTCACCTGGATACTGCCTACTTCACAGCCCCACGCGTCTCTTCCCCCACAGTGCTTCCTTCAGTCTGCCCCTCTCAGTCCTGTCCCTTCTAACTTCAAAATGCCCCCACCCTAGAGAACAGCCGCCTCTGATTAGCTTCCCTGAATCCACTTCTCTCCCTCTGTCTCCAGCCCCATCAGACCAGCATGATCTCTGTGTTCCATAAATCCGAACACACCACTTTTCCTGCACGGGAACCTGGGAGAGCATCTTAGTGCTCTGGGAGGAAAGTCTCGAACCGCAGGGCGGCGCGGCAAGCTGACCTCTGACTGCGGCTCTGAGCGAGTCTCTCGGGCGACCCCTTGCTCCCTCTGCTGCCGCTGCGCTGACTCCTCTGTTCCACTGACCTTCCCACCTGACTCTTTTCAGCTGTTCTTCCTCTATATGCTCTCAAACACGAAATACAGCAACTCCGGCTGGGCTGCATATGTACATGTTATAGTTTTTAGCCTAAGTGTCACTCCTTCAGACCTATAAACTCAGTCAAATAAAATAAAATTCCTTTCATGACACTTCTCACAATCTGCTGCCACTATCTGTTTAATGTCCGCATCCCTCACTAGACTAGGCCCTTATGAGGGCAGAGTGTTTATTTTCTTCATTGCTGTCCAGCCAGCACCACCGGTGCTCAGTGAATCAAACAGTACAAGCAAAGCATGCTCCCTTGAATTACCTGGGCCCTTTTCACCTGGGTGGTACATTTTTATGATTCTATGACTGGCTCCAATGTTCATGGTAAATATATTTCCTCACCTCAATCTTCTTTTCTAATGGGGAGTGGGAACCTACTGCAATCCGAGGGTCTTGAATATTTTTGGCCCAGGCCAATCTAGAAAAGCAAAAAGAGAAATTATACTAGGACTTGGAGGAAGGTCTTGGGAAACATGCTCTGGTATGAATGGTAATGTGAATTGATTTGGGGATTCACTTTTAACATGTAGCAAAAGGTGTTTCTGTGTGTCAATAGGCAAGGCTCTACGATATGTTTAAATTTTTTCTTTCCTTGAATCAAGGAAGAAATGCTCTTTGGTAAAAGCATAAACAAAGAACCAAATTATGTCTGAGGCTGAAGCTGTCAACAGTACATTTACCAGTGGAGAGAGGCTGAGTTATGATTTCAACTTCCCCAAACCATGGTTTGTGTATATTGTTAGTAGAACAGAGAACTTGCCTCTGATGAGAAGTTGAGTTTTCAAAGTTGTTAAGTCCATTTTAAGTTCACTTATGCATGAGGTGATGAACAATAAATTTAATCTATAAGCTATCATTAATTTCCAATAACAGCTACCTAACTATAACATTTCATTAATCTTGTGAAAGATTTACAGTTTAAATAGATAGTAAAACAATCTGACAGCAAGAAAGGGTTGTTTTTAATTTAACGCAGAAAAATAAAGCAGAGACATTTACCACTGATGATAGAGCACAATCACATTTAGGCATCCTTAAAACCTGTTTCTTAACCTGCTCACTTAGCAAACAGGGTTCTCTGTTTAGCAATCTGGGTTGTAAATATTGTTTCTCTGACTCCTCTTAGCAAAAGAGAAGGATTTTATAACACAGAACTAGAAAAAAAAACACTATTTGCTATTTAACTTCTCAAAGACTCATTTCTGTTTTCAATTTTTTCTTTCTTAAGCAATTCTTATATTATTTCCATAACAACATTTTAGAGTTTATCATACTCTAGGCATTGTACTAAGAATGCAAATAGATTCCTTTACTTAGTCTTCCAAACAGCCTTATTATCCCCCATTTCATGGCCAAGTGGACTGAGGTGAAGAGAGGTTCAGTGACTTGTTAAAGGTCCCATGGTTTGTTTCAGAGGTGGGATGTGTCTGTGTGACTCCAGACCATGTCTTCTTTCCTGTGCTGCACCCATCCCCACACAAATGATACTCTCCTGCTTTTACTCAAAAAGGACGGACAGTAATACCTACTGTTCTTCTGCACTCAGAGCCAACCATTCTGAGTCGGTCACCAAAGGAGGCTGTGAGGGTTGGGTCTGCACTGCCAGCTGCTCCTTCCGCAGCCCCCCATTGTACCTTCTCCTCTGAGCATCCCTGGTTACTTCCGTTCTTCCTAGGGCACCAGGCTGTTTATCTTTGGTGTCTTCTGCCTCAGCCATTGCCCTATCAATCGCCAGCTTTACAAGCAACATCTCTGCTCTTCACTCTTCTTCTCTTGGTGTCCTCTTCTCTCAGCTCTAATCTCCCATTCTCAATTCTGCAAAGTCCTGTTTTCCAGCCATTAAAGTTTCTGGCCCTCTTGCAGACTTTTCAGCTACCTACTGTTGATCCTTCAGGATGCCTTGGTCTGATTTCTAGGGCAACCAGAAGCAGTCACAAGCTTTTTTTGTGTCATCACTATCCTAGATTGAAACTACTGTGAGGTGGTAGGTGGAGACAGCGTCTGCTTGGCAGGACATGAGCTTTAGGGAGAGCTGGGCTAAATGGCCACAGACAGAAAGTAGAAGGGCCTGTGTTTTACACAGATAAGTGTCCCAGTTTAGGGCAGTTAGAGAAAGCATCTTTTGAGGCAACAAGAGCTTCTTTCTCCTTTTGGAATATATATTGTGTACCTTCCATAGAAATGGAATTGTGGAGTCGGTGGAGAACCCTGGAGTGGATACTGTAGGCACACTCACAGTAGCAGGAGGAGGTTGTACAAGTGCAAAGGTGGGTAAGTGGCGCGGTCTCATTATTACTTAGCTGGCTGTCACTCACCTAAATACTGTTCCTGCAGTGAAGTTTTGAGCTTTGATACTGTTTAATATACTTCTAGTCATATACTATTTAATTATTAATATGTTCATAACTGGTCACTGAAGAAGCAAAAAAGGCACCAATGTTGAAATAACATTAATGAAAATGACTCTGCATAGTCACATCATGATACCCTTCACCATACATGCGAGCGGCATCCATTCAAAGTCCTCGTGTAGCCCATTATGACCTCTCCAGTTCTTTAAAAAAAAAAAAGTGAAAAGGAGAAAATACAGTGATTAATTACAACCTGGCTTTTTGTTTGTTCAGTAGAAATAAAACCTACCACTTCTAAAACATGCTGTTTGTAGAGATGTGCTTGAAACCATAGCCTCCAACTCAATCAGTAGTAAATGAGTTAAAAAAGTAAATATGGGTATTTGATGCTCAAAAAATAATCAAAGAATTTCAAACATCAAGTCATGAAAGTATTTTATTACTGTTTATCTTTCTGTGTCCCTTTAATCTGTGTTTTGGCATTTCCTGTAGATAACATTGTTGGGTCTCATTTTTTATCCAGTCCGATAGTCTTTTTTAACTGTTATATTTAGACCACTGGTGTTTAAAGTGATCACTGATATAACTGGATTAGTATCTACCATATTTGTTGCGGTGTTCCACTTGTTGCTCTTGCTTTACGTTACTTTTGTCTTCCACTCTTACTCTGCCTTCAGTTCAGCTGCTCAGTTCTATCAGATTTTGCAACCTCATGGACTGCAGCATGCCAGGCTTTCTTGTCTATCACCAACTCCCAGAGCTTGCTCAAACTCATGTCCATCAAGTCGGTTATGCCATCCAACCATCTCATCCTCTGTCATATCTTGCCTTGTCATGTTGTCTTGTCATCCTTGTAGTATTTTGCCATATCTGGTATTAATTAAACATTTTATGATTCTATTTTTTCTCCTCTCTTAGCATAACAATTATATTTTGTTTGCTTTTTTAAATGGTTGTCATTGAGTTTGCAGGATATATTTACAACTAATCCAAGTTCTTTTTCAAATAGCTACTATACAGGCAGTTCAGGTACCTTTTTATAACAGTATTCACAGTTCCTACCTGGTGGTGGTTTAGTCACTAAGTCATGTCCAATTCTTGTGACTCCATGGACTATAGCCCGCCAGCCTCCTCTGTCAATGGGATTCTCCAGGCAGGAATACTGGAGTGGGTTGCCATTTCCTTCTCCAGGGGATCTTCCTGACCCAGGAATCGAACCCTGGTCTCTTGCACTGCAGGTGGATTCTTTACCGACTAAGCTATGAGGGAAGCCCTCGTAGTTCCTGCCTCCTATCCCTTAAAACACGGCTATCATTCATTTCACTTATCTATAAGCTTGCACCCTGTATTATTATTTTAACTAAAAAATCTGTTATCTGTCAGATCAAATAAGATTTTGAAAGATTAAAAATTGATTTTACCTCTCCATTTATTCCTTCTCTAATGCTCTTCTTTTAAAAGTAGGTCTGAGTTTCTGACCTATATTATTTTCTGTCTTTCTGGGGAATTTCTTAAACATTTCTTGCATATCAGATCTAGTGGTGACAAATCCCCTCCATTTTTCTTTGAGAAAGTCTTCTCTTTCACATTTGAAGGATGATTTTGCTGGATACAGAATTCTAGGCTGGTGGTTCTTTTCCTTTCAATACTTGAAATATTTCACTTCCCTTCTTGCTTGCATGGTTTCTAACAAGAAGACTGATGTACTTCTTATCCTTGCTCCTCTATAGATAAAAATTTTTCCTCTCTCTGGCTTTTAAAAGGATTTCTTTTTGTCTTCGAGAATTTGTTTTGAAGATTCTGCAGTTTGAACATGATATGCCTACATGCAGGTTTTTGGCATTTATCCTGCTTGTCTGTACTGCCTCAATTTAAAAATCCAAATAAATTTAAATAAAAGTTGTTTCCCTGTCACACTACCCACATTTTAGGTGCTCAGTAGGGACATGCGGCTAGTGGTTACCAGTGCATACGTGCATGTATGCTAAGTTACTTCAGTCGTGTCTGACTGTGTAACCCCAGGGACTGTAGCCTGCCAGGCTCCTCTGTCCATGGGATTCTCCAGGCAAGAATACTGACTGGAGTGGAAACGTCTAGAAGAGGAGGGAAGGGGTCTAACCTTAGGTCTCCTGGCAGTGAGTGCCCCACAGAGGAGTGTCTCTAGGACGCCACCCTTCCCCGAGACGCTTGGTGCTTATACCTAGCTCCTCGCCTCTGCTCACAGCACAGCTCTTTCCTGGCATGTCCCTCTGTATTTCACTGCACACCCCTCCCAAACCTGCTGTCTACTCAATAACACTTTATTCAAAGAAACACGTTTATTTTTTAAAACTTTAGTTAAATCATCCAGCTTTTATTTCGGCTGTGCTGGGTCTCTGCTGCTGCACAAGGGCTTCCTCCAGCTGTGGAGAGCAGTGGTTACTCTCCAGGTGTGGTGCACAGGCTTCTCACTGCAGTGGCTTCTCCTGTTGCAGAGCATGGACTCGAGGGCACGCAGGCTTCAGGAGCTGTGGCTCTCGGGCTCTAGAGAGCACATGGGCTTAGCTGCCCCATGGCATGTGGATGAAGGACTGAACCTGTGTGCCCTGCACAGGCAGGTGGATTCTTAACCACTGGACCACCAGGGAAGTCCCACATTTCAATTTAATGCAAGAATCATGGGTCTATCACCATGCAGAGTCCTTCACGTCATTAGTGCCGAGGGTCAAACCTCACTCTTAAAGTTTCATAAACTCAATTTCACACTCAGTTTATATAAACTGTTAATGGAACCAAACATGCTAGTGTTGCCAGCATTTTATTGTCAAGTATGAAAGTTAAAAACAAAGACAACTATCTATAATTGGCAGTTTCATAAATAAAAGGACATTCTAATAGTGCCCTCTTCCAACTCCCCAAACCTCTGCCCCAAGATGGAAACTAAATGAAACTTTGCATTATTTTTCTCATTGGGGCCTGAAAGATGAAAACTTTGTGTCTAGTGAAGTTGCTCAATCATGTGTGACTCTTTGCAACTCCATGGGATTTTCCAGGCAAGAGTACTGGAGTGGGCCATTTCATCCTCCAGGGGATCCTCTTGACCCAGGGATTGAACCCAGGTCTGTTGTGTGACACAAGTCCAAACCTAGTATTTGTCGATCTCTTTTCTTCTTCAATTAATTTTAAAAAATCACCTTTTCCTCCTATTTGTCTTTTACTAGTTGTATGATCTTGGGCAAGTCATATGGCCGCTCTGGCCTTTGTTTCCTTTGTTGTCCAGGAAAGGACAAGAAATAATCACTTTGCTGTAATAAAATGGATAAGGTCTGTCTTTAAGAACATGGGTACTGAGATCTAGCAAGGAGCCTTTAAATCTAAGGAGTGGGAGAAGCTGGATAAAGCTAGGGTCTTCCTGCAACTACACAGCTATCCTTAGGCTTTTTTTTTCTCATTGTGTGAGGCACAGGTGACGCTTAGCAATATAACAGCAATATGACCTCTTAACAGGCACATAGCCAGCACAGTGGGCCTTGGGGTCAAGAATGTTGAAACTGACTTTAAAAGTTTATCTGTTTCTCCAAGTTTCATGATTTCACCTTTTTAAACATTGTAAAAAGATGACCAACTTTATTGCCAACAGGGGGAAAACATAAGGACAGACTGGTTTAAATTATTTGCCGATACAGAGTTAAAGATTAAGGAATACTACTTAGTTGAAGGCAGTCACTCATTCTTATACTTTACTCCTGGACTGTTACTCTTTGAAAAATCCCCTTTAAAATAGTGGTTGCAAACTGGAGACCTGTGCACGGAATTCAGCTTTTATACATGTTGTGTTTGGCCTGTACAGTTAAAAAGTTCCTTTAAAATAACATTTAATAGCTGTACTAAGGGGAAAAAAAAATCTGACTTTCACCTTCTGTTTGAAAATTGCAAGATACGGCAGCACTGGGGACAAGACAGCAACTGGCTCTGACATTTGTCTTCTTTAAAAGAGGGAAGAGTTCAATTCACCTACCCTGCCAATCCACAGAACACCTACATGTATACTCCAACCTAGGGGATATTTACTAAGTACCTGTTGGTTTGGAAGACGCTAGAATTGGTGAGGACAGTCTGAGATGTTAACTTTTAACCTGAGATCTGCAGGATCTAGAAATAGTGATCACAACCCCTGTTCCTCAGTTTCCTTATGTGTCAACTGAGGCTGACAACGTGCAGTTGTGGGAAAGCGATAGAGTAATTGCAAAGGGCTGGCTTGAACTTGGGGTCCCGGACTCGGGGTCCCCGGGGGGGGGCACCGCTACAATCCACGCTCATCCTGGGAGACCCCTGGACCCAACACCGACGGGGGGCCCCTAGGCGCTGGGACCCATCGCACCTGCTTCGCTCTCCACTCCTCCCCGCCGTGGGCCCCCGCGCTCCGCCGAGGTCGGCCCCGGGGCGTCGAGAGGCGTGGCCGGCCCGCGCGAACCTAGAGGCAGCCATGGCCTCGATGGTGGAGTACAAGGGACTCAAGGCTGGCTACCGCTGCGGCTACTGCGACTCCGAGGAGGGCAAGGCGTCCTGTGGTGAGTGGTCCGGCCAACGGGGTTGGCGCGGCCGCCTCGCGAACAAACCCCCACAACGCCCGCCGCGCTTCAGGCTAGGCCCTCGCCGGGGGGGAGCACCTAGGCCCAGTCCCCAGCTCCCGCTTCCCTTCCCCACGCGTTTCTTCCCAGACCGTTGCCTTTCATATTCTCTCGGTCTCACTCTTACCGAAGATGGCGGTCTCTTTCGGAGAAAGAGCGGAAATAGCGGAAGGCTGCCCTCGGTCAAGATGGCGCAGGCGGCTTCAGCGCCGAGGACGCTCTCGGCGAGGCTAGGCCTGCTGGCGCCCGGGCGGCGCGGTGCATTGTGGGGTGGCGGCGTCGGCGGTGGGGTTGGGTTGGGCCGCGCGTCGTTTGAGGGGCCGGGGCCATGGCGTCCTGGGCTGCGCTTTCGCCCAGCATCGTGGAATATTTCGAGGGCGAGGACTTCTATCGCTGCGGCTACTGCAAGAACGAGTCGGGCAGTCGCTCCAATGGTGAGCGGGCCGGGCTGGTGGGCGGGGAAGGGCGCCGGTACCTCGGCGGCGGGCGGGTGTCCTCGGGGGGTCGCGGCGTCTCAGGCCGAGTGGCTGGAGGGTGGTGTCCTCGCAGCGGCCCAGGCGTAGCCCCTGCGCCGTCCGGCCCTCGTGGAGCGAATGCGGAACGCGGTTCTCCCTGAGTGCTGTGGCTGTCAGAGTTGGAAAATGGACCTCACCCCTGATGGAGCAGGGAAGCTTCTAGAGGCTCATTTTTCACACCCGCGGTCGGACTTGCGAGATAATGTGTGTCTCGCAGGAGCCAAGTGTGGAAACAGGTGTCCATCGTCAGTAGGAGACCGTTAAGTACACGCCTGTCGGGCTGACCTGTGATTTCAGATGCTGTTGCCGGGGTGTTCCCGGGTACCGTCTGTGTAGACAGAGGGCGGGGGGGGTGGTGGTGTGTGTGTGTGTGTGTGTGTGTGTGTGTGTGTGTGTGTGTGTGTGTGTGTGTGTGTGTGTGTGTGTGTGTGTCAATGAGTGTCGGGTACTGTCTGTGTAGACAGGGGTGTGTGTGTGTGTGTGTGTGTGTGTGTGTCAATGAGTGTCGGGTACTGTCTGTGTAGACAGGGGTGTGTGTGTGTGTGTGTGTGTGTGTGTGTGTGTGTGTCAATGAGTGTCGGGTACTGTCTGTGTAGACGGGTGTGTGTGTGTGTGTGTGTGTGTGTCAATGAGTGTCGGGTACTGTCTGTGTAGACAGGGGTGTGTGTGTGTGTGTGTGTGTGTGTCAATGAGTGTCGGGTACTGTCTGTGTAGACAGGGGTGTGTGTGTGTGTGTGTGTGTGTGTGTCAATGAGTGTCGGGTACTGTCTGTGTAGACAGGGGTGTGTGTGTGTGTGTGTGTGTGTCAATGAGTGTCGGGTACTGTCTGTGTAGACAGGGGTGTGTGTGTGTGTGTGTGTGTGTCAATGAGTGTCGGGTACTGTCTGTGTAGACAGGGGTGTGTGTGTGTGTGTGTGTGTGTCAATGAGTGTCGGGTACTGTCTGTGTAGACAGGGGTGTGTGTGTGTGTGTGTGTGTGTGTGTGTGTCAATGAGTGTCGGGTACTGTCTGTGTAGACAGGGGTGTGTGTGTGTGTGTGTGTGTGTGTGTCAATGAGTGTCGGGTACTGTCTGTGTAGACAGGGGTGTGTGTGTGTGTGTGTGTGTGTGTGTGTGTGTGTCAATGAGTGTCGGGTACTGTCTGTGTAGACAGGGGTGTGTGTGTGTGTGTGTGTGTGTGTGTGTGTGTGTGAATGAGTGTCGGGTACTGTCTGTGTAGACAGGGGTGTGTGTGTGTGTGTGTGTGTGTGTGTGTGTGTGTGTGTGACGTGAGTGGATATACGTGGATAAAATGTCCCTGGAGAAATATATAAGAAACTGACGGTAGCCGCTGCTTGCGAGGGGCCCCTGTTCGTACTATTGGGCTTGAAAATGGTACCAGGTGCTTGTTGTCATTTCTCCACCCACCTCGGTGACCACGACAGAGCCAGCCTACAGTGCCCCCTCCCGTGATTCAAGTTTCTTCCCGAAGAATTTTTGTTCATTTGTAAACAGAACGTCATGTTTATTTCTTGCAGTGTCATGCTTTGGCAAAAGTATATGTACTTATTTTAAAGAATAATCTATCATTGTGGGAAATGGGATATCCATGGAGGCTTAAATTTGGGTGGTTTCCGTATTAAAAAAAAAAATTGTCCTGCCCTGGGGCAGTGATTTGGGTGATGATGGTGTGCCCCTGTACTCATTAAGTAAAAATGTTTATTTTCTTGTGGGTGAGAGGCGGTAGAATGTAGTATAACGCAGTCGTTAGTTAAGAAGATGAGTTAAGTGAAAAAAATTTATAGTCTTGGGTTAAACGGAGGAAATAAGAAGGATGCAAATACCGGGTGAGATGATTACAGCCCAGGGAGGGAAAAAACCCGTAGGGTGACAGTGACTGCCTTAGGGTATTAGAGATTTTTTCTCTTCTCTGTTTCAAATTTTAGTGTTATGATTATAATACATATGTAAGAAATTTATATTATAATGTAGATTTATTATATGTTATAAAAATATAGTCCATGGACTTCTCCTGGCCAGAATACTGAACTGGAGTGGATAGCCATTCCCTTCTCCAGGGGATTTTCCCAATCCAGGATCAAACCCAGATTTCTCGAATTGCAGGCGGGTTCTTTACCAGCTGAGCCACCAGGGAAAGCCAAGAATACTGGAGTTGGTAGCCTATCTCTTTTCCGGCGGATTTTGCTACCCAGGAATTGAACCAGGATCTTCTGCTTTACAGGCGGATTCTTTACCAGCTGAGCTACCAGGGAATCCCATATGTAACATAATTTGTGTTATACATGTCCAAAATTAATATTAGGTCCTTAACTATTTTCCTAGTAATTTTAGTAAAAGAAAGTCAATTAATATAGATATCCTTTGTTTAGTTTTGTGGAAAGAACCTAATTTCAACCTTTTCATCTAAAGAGATACCTGTAAATTTCTATCAGTTCTATCATCTTGTTTTTAATTTTAATAGTAATCTTTACTATAGGGCACTCCACCTATTAGGTATGAAGGTTTTATTATTCCCGTTTTACAGATGAGGAAATTAAGCCTCATAGAGTAACTTAGTGTCAGTGAGTGCCACTCAGGCTTCTGACATTTCTGTTGTATTTATGCCCTTGCTTTTCTCTTTACATTCTGTTCTATAAAGCCTATCTCTGTCTTTATGTACTTTTGATGCAGTTTATTGTTTACAAGAGTAAAATCCAACTTTCTTTACCATTAATTCAGTTTTTTCTCATAATCTTCATTTTTTTCATGGTTGCATAATTTTTTCATCCTGTTGATAACAAATTAGTCTCTGTAATCACTTTTGTGTTCAAAAGCATTTGGATTACTTTCATTTTTTTATGTTTAAAAGGAATATTGCTGTATGTATACTTCTGTCTTATTTTCAGTGTGTAAGACTATGCTGTAAACAAAATAAGGAGAATTTATATGCACAAGAAAACATTTTCTTTTTAATTCTTCTGAAGAGACCAGCTTATTAAATTATTGGGGTCATTGTTATGGCTTAAAGGTGCAATGTAATTTGCAGTGAGATCTTAAATTTATGATGTCACAGAAACTATTCACCAGTCCTTAAGTGCATGTGATCACTTTCTGTGTTTTATTTTTAAAATTAAGATTAAATACATCATGTCCTTCATTTGTGTTGTGTATTGTTTTAAACTGAAAAGTACTAAGTATGTGCAGACTTTGATTTCTCCAGTGTGAGCTGGATTTTTTTGCTTCCGTATTCACATTTTAAAAATAATGCTTTGAATATAGAAAAGTAAAAATTCCACCTGTTGTTATGAACATGGCACTTATTTTTCAGGCATGTGGGCACATTCAATGACTGTGCAGGATTATCAGGATCTCATAGACCGAGGATGGCGAAGGTAAATGTCCTTAATGTAAAGTTCCTTCTGGGTACTCAGGTTTTTCTTATAATTGAAACATATTATTTGCCTTTTAAATGTCTTCCTGTTGCTGGAAATAGGTTTAATAAAATTTTTATTACCTTTTGTATGTACAGATTGTTTTCTCCTTTTAAGGATGTTGGGCTTCCTTGGTGGCTCAGATGGTAAAGAACCCACCTGCAATGTGGGAGACCTGGATTTGATCCCTGGGTTGGGAAGATCCCCTGGAAAAGGAAATGGCAACCCATTCCAGTATCTGCCTGGAGAATTCCATGGACAGAGGAGCCTGGCGGGCTACAGTCCATAGGGTCACAGAGAGTTGGACACGACTGAGCGACTTTCACTTTAAGGATATTTATTAGGAAAATTTCACAGTTGTAGAGAGGACATTGTAACGAACTTCATGTACTAATCACCAGGCATCAGCAGTTGTTAACATTTTGCCAATCGTTTCATCAGTTTTCGTTGCTCCCTTCAATGGACTGAATGTGTCTCCCCCTGAGTTCATATGTTAAGTCCTATATGGAGGTAGGGCCTTTGGGAGGTGATTAGGTTATGAAGATGGATGGGATCATGAATGGGATTCTAGTGCCTTTATAGAAGAGACCACAGAGAGTTCCCTTGCCCCTTCTGCCATGTGAGGATATGTAGAAAAGATGAACCAGAAAGCTTGTCTTCACTCGACGACATTTCTGTTGGCACCTTGATCTTGGACTTCCCAGCCCCCAGAACTACCAGGAATATATTTCTGTTGTTTATAAGCCACTCAGTCTATGGTATTTTGTTATAGCAGCTTCAGTGGGATGAGATATTCCCTGCTCCCCTCCTCCCACAAAATTATTTAAAGCAAATTTCAGATATCATGTCATTATACTTGTACTAAATATGTGTTTCTAAGAGAGAAGGATTTTTTTCTCTTTCTTAACATATTCTCAATATCATTACCATACTTTCCAATTTAGTGATAATTTGATGTCACCTGTTACCTAGTTTTGAGATTTTCTGCTCATCTCAAAAAATTTTCTTTTACAGTTGGTTTATTTGAATCAGGATTTCCTTAGGTCCACACATTGCCTTTGATGGCCATGTTTTATTGGCAGCTATTTTTGTGTAGATGATTTTAGCATAACTATTAGGTAAGGCTCCTTGCGTAAATATGAGCAGTATTAAGTGCCGTGTACCACTGCTGCCCAGAAGACATGGATTGAGCCCAGCAAATGAAACTTCATAGCTTTCCTTAAACATAAGAATGAGGCCCAAAATGTGGATAGATGTAGGTCAGATGTGGCAGGACTTTGTGTGCCGTGATAAGGAGATTCAGTTTTTTTTATTAATGGTACAGGGGAGCTATTGAAGGCTTTTGTGTCAGAGAGAAAAGTGATGGAATTTGAGATCTGGAAATGATGATTCGGATAGCAGAGAGGTGTCTGAGGGAGTGATTCTGAAGGCAGGAAAATGAGTCCCAGAGATTACTGCAGTGTCCAGGTGTGAGGTGGTGAGGAGCTGCTGTCCTAGTCAGTAGTGGTGACTGTAGGTTAGGAGCTGGATCGGAGGGGACAGACTCACGAGACGTTTTGGCAGTAGAACGCTTGCTGGCAGCAAATGGAGGTGCACGGGAGGGGAGAGCCTAGGAGGACTCCCAGGTTTTCGGCTCAGGAACTGAACTCCTGTGTGCTTGCTAGGACTGCCGTAACAGAACACCACAGTTTGGGCTGCTGGAGCGAGAGAAATGTATTTTCTCATGGTTCAGTAGGCTGGAAGTCCAGAATCCGGGTGTTCACAGCGTTGGTTTGTCCCGAGGCTTCCTTCTCTCCTTGCCTTACACCTGGTTGCGTTTTTGCTGTGTCCTCACGTGGTCCTTTCTGTGTGTGTATCTGCTGTTTTGTTTAGTGTGTCTTTTTAGAACACTCATCTGTTTATTTTTGGCTGTGCTGGGTCTGTCGTTGCGGTGGTCAGGGGCAGCTCTCTTGCCGCAGTGCCTGGCTTCTCACGGTGGCGACGTCCCCTGTGGCGCCCAGGCCCTGAGGCCCTCAGCCCTCAGTAGTTGGGCTCCGGCTCCAGAGCAGAGACTCAGTAGTTGTGGCGTGTGGGCTTAGTTGCTCTGGGCATGTGGGATCTTCCCGAATCAGGGATCGAATCCATGTCTCCTGCATTGGCAGGAGGATTCTTTATCACAGAGCCCCTAGGGAAGCCCTGATGGTTCTTTTTATGTCCAATTTCATTTTGTGATAAGAACACCAGTCAGCTTGGATTAGGGCATATGCAAATCTGGAAAAAATTTGATCTTGCAGTGCCATGGCTCTGCATCAGCTGAGATCCAGAAATCTTGGAAAGGATCAGGTTGGCTTGGGAGTCCGTCATGCTGGTGCCTGTGGAACCCCCACGTGTGGATGTCGTAGGCAGCAGCATGCATCAGTATCAAGGGTGCGCAGTGGATGGAGGCATGGAAGGGATTGCAGATGCTTGATGAGAGGGTAACCGAGGTGATCAGTTGTGGAGTACATATGTCAAGGTTTGGGAAAGGAAAACCTGGACTCTGGTCCTTGGATTACACACCATGTAAGATCATTTAGCTTGTGAAGAGTAACTCAGCCTCAGTATTTTTATACTATTGATTAGATTTTTACCTTAATTAATTTTGTGCTCCTGTACCAATCCACTTTGCTGCCTATGAGAAATGTGTATGAAATTAACAAAACTATTCTATAATTTTAGAAGCGGGAAATATGTGTACAAACCTGTCATGAATCAAACATGTTGTCCTCAGTACACCATAAGGTAAGAATTTTGATTAATATATTCTATTAATATGAAGGTTATATATAATTTTTTAGTAGAATTCTGCTTTTTCAAGTGTATTTCTGTTCTAGGTAGACATTCTTTATAAAGAAGAGCAGACAAGTTTTTTCTGTATACTGATGCTGTATTCATATGCTGATTGGTAGCTTTTAATAATATGATTAGTTCAGATACAAGTATTAATGTGATATAAAATATACTATTTAGCAATCTAATCAATAATACATGAAATATTGGGAGAATATTGGCAAATACTTAAATTACTTTTAGATATCAAATTTTTATCACTTTAGCTTGGGGTCGCTAAGAGTTGTGCATGATTTAGCGACTGAACAACAACAGCAGCAACAATTCCAATGCTCTTGTGTATTATTTGACAGCGGTTTCATTCAGACAGTGCTGCAGAATCCTGTATAAGGAATAAGGAAGAGGAGGCTGGCACTTAACCTGGATCTGTTTAGAGCCTAGTCATCACTGGAAAACCCAAACTAAAAAGTCTGGTTTCCTACAGAGTGTTTGCTTGGTTTTTCTTAATATTTTCTGTTTCTGTTGTGCCCCCTCTTACTCCACCCTAACATGGGAGGATTTTTCCCTTCTTCTCTGATTAGGAAGGTCCCTCCTCTTCTCCCTCATTATCTTCTTCCCCTCCCCCTTCCTCTTCTCTTTCCCCTCCCTCTTCCCCATCTTCTGGTAGGAAAAATAGGGAAAGTTTGTTAACGTTGTGGAGAGCATGTCTACAGTTTCAACCTATATGTATACTCTAGATAAAGCAACACAGTGGTGTCCATCATGCTTGGTGGGCCCTCACATCTGTCCCTTAGTTACTCTTAACGTGTTTTGAGGTTGTAGACTCTTTTGAGAATTTGATAACAGAACAAAACGGGGAACATATAGACAAAAATAATGTAACATTGAACATACTAATTTTAGGGTGATCACTGACTTTCAAAATTCACTGATTCCTGGTTAATCCTGTCTCTTCTCTAACTGGTCAAGTTACTGGTATGATAAAGAAAAAAGATAACTATCTAGTTTGCTCACAACATCTCATTTAGTATAAAATGACAAAGTACCTCTTTCAGCTTTAGCCTTTATGAAGTGGTAATGTCTTCAAAGACAGAAATCATTTTCCTTCAGATAACAGTTTCTCATTGGATTATGGTTAGGATTCTTTTCAAATAAGTCTGAAGTGGATTGGCCTGAACCTTGAGAATCTCTTCAGAAAAGGCCCGTTTCAGTGGGTTACAGAAAAAGATAAAAGCATCTGTAATTTATTGGGTTCCTGTCTCATACAAAGCACTGTTTCAGGTGTGTTGCTTTTATGAAAAGGGACTCAATGAACATTGCAAGACAAAGTAATTACAAAGTGTGATTTTTTTTTTTTTTGCATTTTATAATTTTACATGGGATCAAACATTTCCTGAAGGGACCTCCCTGGTGATTCAGTGCCTAAGATTCCAAGCTCCCAATGCAGGGGGCCCCAGTTTGATCCGTGGTCAGGGAACCTAATCCCACATGCTGCAACAAAAGATCCTGAGTGTCACAACTAATACCTAGTGCATCCAAATTAAAAAAAGAAATTTCCTAAATTGTTATTCTTTATACAACTTCATTTTTACATGTTGATTTTTTTGGAGTCGTTTTGCATATTCTTTGGGTTGTTTTGCTGTTTACTATAGTAGTTGTGCAGTGAGGCCTTAGGTAAATGCAGTGTGGTCTAGCCTACAACTTTGATTTTTGTTAGGCAGATGCTAGGGCCTGTCCAGTATGTGAGTAAAAATGAGGATGAACTTCCCTGTCTATGAATTATTTTTTCGATTTTAATTTTTATTAATATCATATTTGCTAACACTTTAAAGAATCAAATAGTTCCCGTAAAGCTTATTTTGCAAAATGGCAGTCCTCTGAACCACTCCCCTCCCCTCCAATTCCTATTTTCTGTTTCTCATTGCAGTCGCTTTCAAACGTTTTAACTGATTCTTTTTTTTTTTTCATCTCTATGTCTTTAAATAACATGCTTATGCTTCAGTGGTAGCTCAGGTGGAAAACAATCTGCCCGCAATGCAGGAGACCAGGGTTCAGGGAATGGCTTCCCACTGCAGTATTCTTGCCTGGAAAATTCCATGGACAGAGGAGCCTGGCAGGCTACAGTCCATGGGGCTGCAAAGAGTTGGACATGACTGAACAACTTTCACTTTCATTTTTATATAGTAATACTTGATTATTAAAAGGTTGGTTTTCTCCATTATCTCTGGGCTTCTCTCTCTGAAAGATAAGGGTTTAATTTTATTTTACCCCACTTCCTCTTGTCACATTCAAACTCCTATTTGTCTTCATCCCCAGCTTCCCAAATTAGAAATGTTCTCATTTTGGATGGATGTAGTCATCTCATTATGGCTGTGTAAATAGACTTCACACCTCAGCCATGTAGTTGTTGTTCAGTCTTTAAGTCATGTCCAACTCTTTGCAACCCTGTGCACTGCACCACGCCAGGCCTCCCTGTTCTTCACTATCTCTTGGAATTTGCTCAAACGCATGTTCATTGAGACAATGATGCTATCCAACCATCTCATCCTCTGTCATCCCCTTCTCCTCCTTCCCTCAATCTTTCCAGTATCAAGGTCTTTTAAATGAGTCAGCTCTTCGCATCAGGTGGCCAAAGTATTACTTTATCTTTCCTGCACAAGTTTTTACTTTCCCTGGTGTTGGCTCATTGTCATTTTTGTTTACTTAGTCTTTGAGGCACCTATTACCAATTTATCTGGAAGTGCTTCCCCAGAGGTGTAAATTTCCTCTTGCTATGTTTAGATGCTTCAGGTACTGTATCATTTTTATCTTCTTGATGAAAATCTTACGGAATCTTGTGACCTGCTGTGATCTGAACAGGTTGCCTCTAAGCCTGATAAATCACTGGAGTCTCTCTTTGACTCTCATCTTGAGGATTCCTTTTGGGTCTTGGTTTGCATCTTGTTTCTTCTACCCTCTTTCTTGTATTATTCCTTTATTTTACTGAAGCACCTCTTCTAATAGTTTCTTGAGAAAAAGTGCATAGGAGGTAAATTTTCTTAGGCTTTGGAAATGTTTCCATTGACTGCTCAAACTTAACTTATAGTCTGGCTGGGTACAGCAGTGTAGATTGAAAGTAATTTTCCTTTAGAATTTTGAAAGCTTTGCTCCATTGTTGTCTTATTGCTATTGAGCGGTTCAGTGGCATTCTGAGTCTTGTTCCTTTGTCCAAAATGTTTTCTTTCTCTTTGGAAGTGTTTTTTTTGTCTTCAGTGTTTTGATGTTTCATAATATGTTTGGCAGTGCATCTGTTTTCATTCCTTACATATGTGCTTGAGACACCCCTCTTGTCTAGGGGTGCCTCCCATCATGTCCCAGGGAAATTTTCTTGTTATTTTGTTGATCCTCTCCTTACCATTTTCTTCTTTCTCTTTTCTCATGTCTGTCTTTAGACATTGGACCTTTTAGACTGGTTCCCTTATTATTATTTCTCTTTGATTTTCCATGTCTTTTGGGAGATTTTCTCAACTTCATTTTCCAGGTCTTCTGTGTTCTATTTAACTTTTAATTTCTTCTGCTCTGTTTTTACTTCTAAGAGAGACTTTTGTTCTTGGCTCTTAGGTTAAGGTTTCCTTCCCCCTGTACACGCGATGTCCTGCAGGTTACTTTCTCCAACCCTTTGGCACCTATCTTTGCTTTAGAGGCCCTCCTCTAGTGTCTGGTGATTCCAGTGTCCCATTGGAAATTTTATGTACCTTGGTGGGTCTTGTTTACTATGGTCGTTAAGTAGGGTGGTCTGGCTAACCTCTTCTTTGGGAGAATCTCTGGGTCAGTATTTTTCATTCTGATCACATTCTGGAGAGAGTATCATCTGCTGATGTTCTGGGACTGGGTTGGGGATGTGGGTGACAGAGGTCTCAGCGCTTGGCATGAAGGCTTTCATTTAAGCTTACTGTTGGCTGTGAACTTCCTGCTTTCAGCTGTGCCTGTATTCCTCACAGAAGAGCCCCCCTTTTTTTAACCCTTTCTGAAAACAGTTTTCTGCTGGGCTTAGGGAATCATCTGCTGAGCAGCGGAGCAGAACGGACTTTCAAGGGGTCTTCCTAGTTCTACGCCTGCGTTCACCCTTATCTCCCGAGGTATTAGGTGTTGCCAGTCCCTAAGACTTTTAGGGGTAATGCGGAGAAAACTGGGTATCTTTTTGGCTTTTCTTGCTGTTGGCTTAGGATTCAGTTTCTCTGGTCTGCTAAGTCAGTTAGCACTTGTACATCTGTTTTCTAGCTTCCAGCGTTTCTCCCATTATTTTTTTTCCTAGTGGTTTATGTCTTTTGCTTTTATTTTTTAAAAATAATCCCATAACTGTATTTTAGTGAGTTTTGAGATGAGATTAGAGACTACTTTAAGCCCTGTCTTTACCCAGAAATCCCAGTCATGAGCTTTTCTTCATTGTACTATTATCTAGAACTGATTTTATTTCCTCATAGTTTTAGTTCACTTTTTAAATACTTATTTTGCTTTCCTAGGTGCCGACCTTTACAGTTTCAGCCATCAAAATCTCACAAGAAGGTTTTGAAAAAAATGTTGAAATTTCTGGCTAAAGGGGAAATTTCAAAAGGAAATTGTGAGGGTAAGATGAGATGGCGGCTAAGAACTGTTTATTTTAAATGGATGTTTCTTTCCAAGGTCCTCACTTGCGCTCATTTCTTAGGTAGGGGAAGGAGGTCCCGCTGCAGTCAGGAGCTACTGTTACTGTGATGGTGATGGGTACTCTGAGCTCTGCTCTTAGACTGTTACCGCTGGCTCCCAAATCAGGGAGATGGGGAATGTACGCCAGGGAGAGTCCAGCTTGGGAGGAAGACAGGACCTTTGTAAAGATGTCATTTCCTGGAATTTATTGAAATCTTAGTTTTCTTGATTCTTTGAGAATTCTTCGTTTTCTTTGACCCTAATGATACCTTGTGAAGTAAATAGAAAGTGATACTGTCTCCGGGCTTCCCTGGCGGCTCAGCAGTAAATAATCTGCCTGCAGTGCAGGAGACCCAGGTTCGATCTCTGGGCTGGGAAGATCCCCTGGAGGAGGGCATGGCAACCACTCCAGTACTCTTGCCTGGAGAATCCCGTGGACAGAGGAGCTTGGCGGGCTACAGTCCATAGGGTAGCACAGAGTCAGACACGACTGAGGCGTCTCAGCAGCAGTAACAGCACTGTCTCTGGAGAAATAAATGCTTGTATACAACTTACATAAGATTGCATAATTATTTATAATGCAGAGTAAAGCTCAGATTTTCCATGTTTGAGTAAAGTCTTCAGTAAATTATATTGCCTGAAACTGAAAAGTGGAAGTCGCTCAGTCGTGTCCAACTCTTTGTGACCTGGTGGACTATATAGCCATGGAATTCTCCAGGCCAGAATACTGGAGGGGGTAGCCTTTCCCTTCTCCAGGGGATCTTCCCAACCCAGGGATCGAATCCAGGTCTCCCGTATTGCAGGTGGATACCTTACCAGCTGAGCCACAAGGAAAGCTCAAGAATATTGGAGTAGGTAGCCTATCCCTTCTCCAAAGGATCTTCCCAACCCAGGAATTGAACCAGGGTCTCCTGCATTGCACGTGGATTCTTTACCAACTGAGCTGTGAGGGAAGCCCTGATAATAAGAGTTCTTACCTTGCCTGAAGCTTTCTTTTTTTCTTTTTTTCTTATGAATTTTGAATTTGGGTGTATTTCCTCAAATTTCCTAGTAACATTTAATTAACTTGGGTTTCTTTGCTTTTTCAGTGTTTTGCTGTTTTTTCTTTTTTCTTTTAGCATTTTCCCATAGGCACTCCATAACACATGAATTGGGAGTGCTGCCCATCATTATAGCTCTTTCTCATTTCTCCCATAAGAAATGGCCTACCCTGGGAGCCTCCCACCCCAGTGTTAGCTTGTTAATTCATCCCCCAAGTATGTTTTGAATGCTTACAATGTCCCAGTCCCTCATTTAAGCACTGGAGCTACAGTGGCCAGCAAAACAGGTACTTTCTTTGCCCTCATGCCCTGCCCTTTACAGAGCAGGATTCAGGACAACTTGGAGCAAACTTGGCAGAGCTGGGGTGAGAAAGAGGCCAGAAGACTCTGGGTCATACTGAAAACATCACAGTTTTGTGTAGCTCTGCTTGGTATTGTCGGTAGGAATCACGTTCTGAGTTTCAAAGGTTAATATTCAGATATGTTTTGAGGATACTGTCCATTTGTAAATTGAGGCCTACCTGTCTTTTTATGTAGTTTTTACATTTGGTTTTTTATTTGACTTGTAGGCTTTTGAATTATTTATGTCTGCAACTTAATTCATAGGAGTGATGTATTCATTAGGATAAAACTAAATAACTGTAATGAGGAGACACCAGAATGCAATGACTAAAAATTGATACAAGTCTTTTTCTGTCCTCACATCACAGTCCAGAGTGGGTTTTCCAGGTTGGCCTGCAGCCCCACCCCCACTCCCGCCACCCCCTGCCCCAGCAATTCTGGGTCTCTCTTCATGTAATTTTTGAGGTCACTCTGGTTTTTACTAATCTAGCCAGTGGGGAGGGGAAAGGGTGGAAGTTCAGGGTCACAAATTTCCTTTAAAACAAGTGAGGCAAAATTGAACATGTCAGTTTGGTTCTATGCCACTGTTGGGAGCTTGGTTACAACCCGTGAAGGGACTGGCGCATTCCCTTTCCAGGGCCCCGCTGTCTTCACCATAGCCCTGACTCTGCAAGATGGGAGAATGGACTTGGTGTACACTCAGTAGTCTCTGCCACATTGGATAGAAGAGGGCATGTTTTCCGTATATGTCTCTTGGTTGTGTCAGATGGCCTGGGTGATGGACTGTGATTTCTCTTTGATTTGTAGATGAGCCCATGGAGCCCACCGAGGAGGATGCCGTTTCCAGTGACTTTGGGTTAATAAATAAATTGGATATACACTGTGACCTTAAAACACTCAATGATGACCTCAGAAAGAGCTTAGAGAGTGAAGAGAAGAAGAAAGCAAAGAGGGAAGAATCTGATGAAATAACCCATTCACAAGATATGAAAGAGAAGTTGGGCTCTGGTGAACCATCGTGTTCAGTTAAAGTGCATACAGCTCCTCAACCAGGTAGTAGAAGTTTTTCATCAGGCCATATTAAAGTCAAGATTGTCTTTGTGCTTGAGACATCATCATCCCTGAGCCCTCTCATGAGCTAAAAAAGTGAAACACTCAAGAAATTTGTGACATGGATCCCTGTTTTGTACACCTTATTATTACCTGAATTTAGATGAACAAATTGTTTAAAAAACCTGAAATAATAGCCTTATCATCCCCTAACACAGACATTTTAAGAATTCCATTTCTTTTTACTACCTTAAGGCCCTGGAGGTTTGAGAATCAAACTTTTGTCTGTGAGAAGGTATGGTGCTAAACATGTTTCTTTTCAGTGTTAACCTAGACACAGTAAATTTTAGATACTATGTCTGAAGTATAGACATTGTGAAATTCTTCAGTTTGCCATTAGATTTCTTTGTTTGTGTTAGTTGCTCAGTTGTGCCCAACTCTTTGTGACCCCGCGGACTGTACCCTCTGTTCATGGGATTCTCCAGGCAAGAATACTAGAGGGGGTTGCCATTTCCTTCTCCACAGGATTTTCCTGACCTAGGGATTGAACACGGGTCTCCCTGCAGGCAGATTCTTTATCATCTGAGCCATCAGGGAAGCCCACTAGATTTCTTTATGTAAGCATAATTAATTTTAGTTTAAAATTTTCCAAATTAACAAAAAATTTCCAGGGAGTTCCCTGGTGGCCTAGTGGTTAGGATTCCAGGCTTTCACTGCCGTGGCCTGGGTCCAGTCCCTGGTCAGGGAACTGAGATTCTGCAAGCTGTGCAGCCAAGAAAAATAATTCCACATTTTGATATTTAATTTCACCTTTAATAAGGTGAGACTTCTTTCTGTATTACCACTTATAAAAGAATTAGGCTTGGAAAATTTATCCAACATTAAATGGGTTTATTACATATATGTGTGCTGTATATATGAGTCTTTTCAAAAAATTTCATTAAATGTCAATTTGCATAGTTGGTTCTTGAGTTTTTTCTTATACAAAATAATCCAACTGAGAGATTTTTTAGTATTAGTTTTTTGTTTAAATTATATGTGTTAAAACACAGTATACTCTGCATTTTTTTTTTTTAAGGTTTCATGGCATTTACATTGCTGGTCTGAGATTTCGTCCTAATTGATAAGAAAGTCCAGTAAAATGTTTTGAATGATTTAAATAATTTCTTTCAACTCTTACTCTTTTGGTCATTACGGTCAGTTTGTTTATAATTTTTATTGTTTATTATAATAATGGCTTACATAATTTGAAAAGCCTTCATTTTGGAGAATTTTGGAGGCAAATGTAGACTGAATATCATAATGAATTTCCATGGAGCCTGCCCTCATTTGAAACATTATTGACTCATGATGGCAGTCTTTTTTTTTTTTCTTCTAGTTTTATTGGGATATGGTTGATATATAAATTTGAGAAATGACACATTTCTCTGGCCAAAGAAAATGAATTTTCTAAGGCAACAGAGTGATGGCTAATTATAGAGGTTTTTGTTACTGGTTTATTAAAAGTCTTTTTTTTAAAGGTACATTTTGTTTTTAGTTGGGTTAATGAAGTTGTAATTTGGTCTCATTATCACTGTTTTCTCATTAAACTAGTTTCTTTTGACCAGGTCTTGATCTCTGACTATCTATTAACACTCTTGGTCTTCGTTTTCTTCTGTATAAAATTGACTTTTATATGATTTGTGAATACTGTGTTTCAGGATCCTAAATTTCTATAAAACCATTTTTCTTTATTAGTTTTAAAAAATGAAAAAATTATGTGTAATGTTAGAAAATTGGGAGAAAAGAGAACACTACAAAAAAAAAGGAGAAATCCTTTATTTTTAAACTGTTAAACATTTTTAACAGTTAAAATGGCTGTTGATGTGGTGGTATATTTCAGACTTTTTCCCACGTATTTAATTGTATAATATATAATGTTTCAACAGTGAATAATGACAGAACCGCTAAAATTTCTAAAGCATTTAAAATGGCTGATATTCTGTTGCTTATTTTAAAAATTATGCAGTTGTTCTGTAACTGGGCATCTTGATTATTTTGAAGTTTTCATTTGTGTTCATTGTTAGCCTTTATCTCTTGTGATTTTCTTGGAATAGATTCCTTGAAAATAGCTTCCTAGATTAAAGGGTATTGACTCAATTTTGTAGTTCTTAATAGTAAACGTTTTTTTATAGTTTAAAGTGTTGTCAGCCTGATATTTGCTCTTTTTAATTAAAATAAGGGGCTTCCCTGGTGGCTCAGTGGTTCAGAATCTGCCAGCCAATTCAGAAGACGTGAGTTTGATCCCTGAGTCAGGAAGATACCCTGGAAAAGGAAATGGCAACCCACTCCAGTATTCCTTCCAGGATAATCTCATGGACAGAGGAGCCTGGTGGGCTATAGTCCATGGGGTCTTAAAGAGCAGCCTGAAAAGTTTCTGTTACTATTTACTTTCTCTGGCAGTTCTAAGATAAATTTAAAGATCAACTTAGAGGTCTACACCATGAAGCCTCTGAAACCTGCACTCAGAGCTAACCTAACAATTGGAACTCTTTGGACTACTTCTGTAGAACCTTTGAGATTTTCGAAAAATATTTCTGGAGCCAAATGTGATTGATCTGCTGTTTTAAAATTCCTTTTTAGGCAGAGGAGCAGATTTGAGTAAGCCTCCATGTCGAAAAGCAAAGGAAATCAGGAAAGAAAGGAAAAGGTTAAAACTCATGCAGCAGAACCCAGCTGGAGAATGCGAGGGCTTCCAAGCTCAGTGTCAGCCCTCATCTTTGCTCCCACCAAAGACTAAATCCAACCAACCCAAGTCACTTGAAGATTTAATTTTTGAATCTTTACCAGAGAATGCATCACACAAGTTAGAGGTACCTTGGAGGACATTTTTTTGTTTTTGTTGATTACCTTGTTTCTTTTCATTTGAGGATTATACAGTTGATGTTTTGCTGTTTATATAATGGGAAATTAAAGTGAACTGGGATGGAGTGGCTACTTAATATTTACTAAGTTAATTGCCTCTTACGGAAAACTTTTTTTTCTTAAGATATAAAAAGGTGGCTACTAAAGTTGTGAAAATTCCAGTTTTAGTGTTACTGTTATTTGAGGTACTCTGGCTTTTTGTACACCTTAATTGAAATTTATTCATTAGAGTGAAAAATTTTAAAATAATTTATTTAAAATTTCATTTTTGGCAGTTTTGGTTTAGATAGTGAAAGAAATGGATCACAGTAGGTAAATCACTGTTTCATTGATTTTGATATTCTGGTCTTGATCAAGGGAACAAATGGTATTACGTATGCAAGCCAGCAGTTTAGACATTATAAATATAAATATGTCTGAATTTAGACAGTTTAGACATAATATGAATAGTTTTAGAGTATTCTTATTTTTCCCAAGTCAGTTTACATTCCAGGTTAAGTCTAGGTTTTTCAGTATTAGTTTGGTATATTTATAAAATTTTTTTCTGTAACATTTTCCATGATGACTTCATTATATTCTCCTACTTGATTAGTAACTGGTCAGCCTTTGAATTTATAGCTTAAAGTCATCTAAGAATATCACTTATCACTGAAAACCTGATGCTAAAAATTTACTTTGATGCAGTTTAAACCTTAGGACAGTATATATTCTTAGACATAAGTTTTGACAATTTTGATTATTATAATTCCTTGGCTGCTGTGTTTTGGTATTAACTTTCTCCTTCCCAAATTGTAAAAAGAATGGAACTTACCACTTAAAATACTTTATGAAGAGTCTTTTAGCTTTATTAGTAATGTATTCAGGGCAGCAGGTTTCACCTAATACAGCACTTCTTCAGTGGGCAGCTTTTAGTTTTTTAATTAATTGGAGGATAATTGCTTTACAGTGTTGTATTGGTTTCTGCCATACGACAGTGTGAATCAGCCAAAAGTATACCCGTGTCCCCAACCTCTCGAGCCTCCCTCCCACCCCTGTAGGTTGTCATAAAGCACTGGGTTAAGCTCCTTGTGTTATAAGCTTTTATTTTTTTAATATGACCCCCAGAATGGATGGATTTTTCTTATCCACTAGGTGTCACTCTTTCATGAGAAGAGCTTCTCATGGCACAAACAAGAAGTTTCCAGATAGGCTTCTATTACATTACATTTGATTTTGTATTTTACTCTTCTGTTTTGCTAACATATTTTAACTGGTTAGTAAATAAGATTAAAGAAATGTCATCTGTTAACTGTGTATAGTTACCACTTGTAATGCATCCTCATTTTACATATGAGGAAACTAAGGCACTGAGAGGTTAATTTATTTACTTGACTAAAATGATAACTTTGAGATTTGAGTACAGGGAGCCTGACTTTAGAGTCTTTTTAAAGTATGCTATGGAGGGAGGTGGGAGGGGGGACCGGGATGGGGAATACATGTAAATCCATGGCTAATTCATCTCAATATATGACAAAAACCACTGCAATGATGTAAAGTAATTAGCCTCCAACTAATAAAAATAAATGGAAAAAAAAAAAAGTATGCTATGGAATAGGAACAGTTTTTGAAAGTTGTCTTTTATACTTAAAAAGTTGTAAGTTTAGAGTTAATGGTGTATGAGTGAGTGTCCAAAAAATATATTCACATTTTCAGTCTTTTGAATTGTTTTACTAAAGGTGAGTTGTGTATAGCTAATATTAAAGAGTATTTGTTTGTGTCTCTGTCTTGAATGCCAGAACTAATCTGTTGTTTTATAGCTGAGGCAGTCTTACGTAATTCAGTCAAAGAGATTAGTCTTAGAATTTGGGCAGGAACCTCTGCCTTGTTAATGAGTCTATAATTTGGAAAAATAGTATTTTTTCTCTGTTTATTAACAGTTGATCTTTAGAGTTTAAATATTGCTGTTACATGTTTCTGCTTTAATATTTGTATTGAAACTTTGGGGTCTTTGAGGGTGGGAGTAACTGTTAATGCATATTCCATGGAATAAATAAATGAATTAATGAACATTGTTTTTTACCTCCTTCTGAAGGTGAGGGTGGTGAGATCATCTCCACCAAGTTCACAGTTCAAAGCCACATTTCAGGAGTCTTACCAGGTCTATAAACGTTACCAGATGGTTGTTCACAGGGACCCGCCCGATAAACCAACTGTGAGCCAGGTCAGCAGGGCAAGTGTAATGTTTCTAACAAATGAAAATTCCCCTCTATTTGATATCACTGTGTGAATTCTTGGTTTATTTGTGGTGCATTTTATTTATGTTCAATTTGCAGTATATCTGCAAAGAGATAGGACTGTGGGATAATGGACATTCTGAAAGTGCAGATTTTACCACAGGCCATGCTAAGTGCCTTTTATGTATAATTTCAACATGGGAAATGTTGAATCACCGTGTTTAAATCACCGTGTTAAAAATCACCCTGTTTAGATGCATTTACTTAAGACTCAGTGAAAAACAGATCTCTAAGTTAAAATATTTATTGGAAAAAAAAAAGTTAAAAAAAAATCCCAGTTTTTCTGGTAGCCATACTTTGCCCAGCACAGTTAACATGCTTTATCTCCATGTAGACGTCATGAATAGAGAGAGGTCCTAAAAGCTAAATTACTCTTTGTTGGTGTACAGGCCATATACAACTGAGTAGGACTGGAACGGATAGTAGAATGTTTTAATTGATGTTCTCATATGAAGTCCTTGATTTGTAATTTTGTAAACCACATTACCCAAGAAAAATCTGGAGGGGGAAAAGCCCTTAGTATAAGTAGAAGTGACAGAGCTAGTGTCAGTTACCATGGGCAACAATATTGACTCTGTTGTATGCAGAGAGTTACATGGATAAAGGGAGAAATTAAACCAAAGAAATTGTCCCGGCCCTTGTGAGTTTAAATTTTTCATAAATATTGGTGTAAAGTTCATGCATCAGGCTCTGTGCTCGTCAGCCTGTTCCAAGGTTTACTTGTTTTATGAACAATGCCAGTGCTGAGCTTTGGCAGTGGATTTGCGGAGATCTTACTCTAGCCTCACCTTCAGAAGCATATCATCAGTTAGAGATGTTTCAATAGCATTTGCTTGTATTTTCCTTGCTCTGAAGGTGAGGTTAGTACCTGTCTCCTTTGAGGACCCAGAGTTCAAGTCGTCCTTCAGCCAGTCATTTTCTTTGTATGTCAAGTATCAAATGGCCATACACCAGGATCCGCCCGATGAATGTGGGAAGACCGAGGTACCGTTCACTAAACGTTTTTTCCTATGCTGAGGTTGCCTATGAAGGAGCATACTCTATAACCTTCTTATGCCATTTTCTTATCTGTTAAGTGGAGCTGATGGTTCTTGCAGGGTGTATTCCTGAACTTTTGTGAAAACAAGTCATACATGTGATCATTTTAAATCCCTCAGAAAGAAAGGATGTGTCCTTACTCAATGTTCTCTCCAGGAGCCTGAATGTCGCGTGTTTATAGACCAGTCGTCGGGCTGTCAGCCGACATCACTGCATGCACCGTGTGTGCCAGGCTGTGCCACAGCCCACAGGGGGGCGTCTCTGTCTTCGAGGCATTGATGTTCACACGGGAAAGATGAACCAGTGAACAAATACAGCTTAACAAGAAGCACATGGAAAAAACCGAATACGTTGAGGTTGTTTCAGTTCAGTTGCTCAGTTGTGTCCGACTCTTTGCGACCCCATGGACTGCAGCACGCCAGGCTTCCCTGTCTATCACCCAGGGGTGAGGCTGTATAGAGCATCATTTGACAAGCCTTTATTGAGGGCCTGTGTGTTCCAGCTACAGATATTTAGATGAGTAAGAGATTGCATACTTTTCACAGTTGGACGGTGATATCTTGGAAGAAAGATGCCAACAGACACAGAAGGATTGAAGTTTTGATTTTTGTGTCTTTTTAATGACACAATGTATTAGCTTAAAAAAGATGGTTAATAGGACAGGAGTTAATGCTGCATGTTCCTTGTGAGAAGGCTGACTCTGGGTCTCCCAGAGCCTTTCTAGTTAAAGTGTAGTCTGCAGACCAGCAGCATCAGTGTCACTGAGAACACAGAATCTCAGGTTTCCCCTCAGACCTACTGAATCAAAGTCCGCATTGTGAACTAGGTCTCCAGGTGATTTCATATGCACATTCCGATTTGAGAAGTGCTCCCACAAATTCCCTGTTGAGATCCGTAGCTGTGGGTGGTAGCATTTATAGATAAGGATTCTGCCAGGTGCAAGAAGGTCTCCTTTGATACTCTCAGGAGGTCTTAATTCCTTTCTGCACGTTACTCTTTCCTACTACCCTTGAGATTCTGGCCTTGTGCCTTCCTGCTTCCCAGGTATGGATAGTTGGGCAAAAACACATCTGATGTGTTCCCACTAAACCTCGACTGCTCCCCCTGGCCCCGACTCCATTTTTGGGCTTTAGTCCTCTATGGGGTCCATTCCATTGGGGAGACAGATGGGTAAGCAATTCCAGTGCTGTTCGAGTTAGCTGGTGGATTAGTAAGGAAAGCCACCTTAGTGTGAGACTGAAGTGAGAGAGGATTTTCTGAAAGAAGTGACATCTGAGCCAAGTCCAAAAAGATCAGTGCCACTTAACCTCCAGGCAGGCTCTAGGGCAGTGTTATATTTAGGCTCAAGGTATATTTGAGGATTTTAAAAATAGCTTATATTTACATTCACTACCATCAGCAGCACGGAACTCTGAATATGTGATTTGATCTTTTTTTACATTGAAATACATAGTGTATTTCTTTATTATAACCAAATCAGTTCAGTTCAGTTGCTTAGTCATGTCCGACTCTTTGCGACCCCATGGACTGCAGCATGCCAGGCTTCCCTGTCCATCACCAACTCCGGAGCTTGCTCAAACTCATGTCCATCGAGTTGGTGATGCCATCCAACCATCTTATCTTCTGTCGTCCCCTTCTCTTTCTGCTTTCAGTCTGTCATGGGTTTGCCTTAATGATTCATTTTATAGGATCACATAGAAAATTCATACTGGTGAGAAAGTTTGTGATTGTTTAGTACTTTGATTTCATACAAGTGAGTATATTTAGCTTTGATAAATTTTTTAACTTCATAGAGTTTTATTTATCTTGCATCTAACTGAATTCATATGGAGTTTTCAGAGATATTTGAAATGATACTGTTTTTCATATGGGTCAGTTTGTCATGTCTCTGAATGTAGTTTCTAAGAAGTAACATGAGATAGCATTTTGTAAGTCAAGACTGTGCTGTGCTTTTATTTCTTTATAACAGTTTTGTTGTTGTTTAGTCACTTAAGTCGTGTCTGACTCTGCGACCCCATGGACTGCAGCACACCAGGCTTCCCTGTCCTTCATTGTCTCCCGGAGTTTGCTCAAACTCACGTCCATTGAGTCAATGATGCCGTCTAATCTTGTCATCCTCTGTCATCTCCTTCTCCTCCTGTCCTCATTCTTTCTCAGTATTGGGATCTTTTCCAGTGAGTTGGTTCTTTGCATCAGGTGGCTCAGTTATTGGAGCTTCAGCTTCAGCCTCAGTCCTTTCAATGGATAGTCAGGGTTGATTTCCTTTAGGATTGATTGGTTTGATCTCCTTGCTATTCAGGGGACTCTGAAGCATCTTCTCCAGCACCACAGTTCGAAAGTATCAGTTTTTCAGCACGCCCCCTTCTTGATGGTCCAGCTCTCATAGCTGTACATGACTACTGGAAAAATCGTGCTTTGACTATATGGACCTTGGATGTATAATTCATGTAGTATACAGTTTACCCATTTGAAGTGTGTGACTGAATGGTTTTTAGTATATTCAGAGTCATGCAGCCATTATCACTAACGCCAGAAGGTTTTCATCATCCAAAAAAGAAACCTCATCCCCAGAGTGGTCACTCATTATCCTTCAGACATCCCAGCTCTAGGCGACCACATTCCACTTTCTCTTCCTGGATTTCTTTAATCTGGACAGTTCAGGTAAATGAAATTGTATCCTACTGGTCTCTTGTTGACTGGCTTCTTTGCTTAGCATTTTTGCAGGCTTCATCCGTGTGGTAGCGTGTGTCAGTACTTCACTCCGTTTTGTGGCTGGATAATATTTTGTTGTATGGATGTACCAGAGTCTGTTTCTCTCTTCATCCATTGATGGCCATTTGGGTGGTTTTCATTTTGGGCTTATATAGAAGGCTTTGCTGTGGATATTCATGGGCAGGTTTTTATTATTAATGGGCATATGTTTTCATTTCTCTTGAGTATATACCTAGGAGTGGAATTGCTAGGTCATAGGAACGAATAAATGTAAATAAATAAATAAAAACTCTGTGTTTACCTTTTGAGGAACTGCCATACTGTTTTTCAAAGTGCTACCCTTTTAAAATTCTTGGTCATCTGAGTTGGTGTGAAGTGGTATCTCATTGAGGGTGTGTTTATTTTTTTGGCTGCACCTCAGCACATCCCCCAACTAGGAACTGAATCTGAACCCCCTGTGTTGGAAGCGCAGGGTCTTAAGCACTGGACCACTAGGGAAGTCCCTTCATTGAGGTTTTGATTTGCAAAGGAAATGGCATCCCGCTCCAGTATTCTTGCCTGGAGAATCCCATGGACAGAGCCTGGCAGGCTACAGTTCGTGGGATCGCAAGAGTTGGATACAACTTAGCAGCTAAACCACCACCACCGATGGCTGATGATATTGAGCATCTTTTCATGTGCTTTTTGGGGCAGTTTGTATATTTTCTTTGAGTAAATGTCTGCTTACATATTTTGCCCATTTAAAATTTTTTGCCCATTTTAAAAAATATTAGAAAAATTTTAGATATTTTAAAGTAATAAAAATATTTTTTAAAGATTAGAAAATATCTTCCATTCTGTGGATTATCTATCTCTCTAGTAGGATTTTTAATTTTAAAATCCGTTTTGTTTGATATTGGTATAGCCATTCCATCTACTTGTGGTTTCTGTTTGCATGATATGTCTATACTATTTTATTGTCAGTCTGTTTGTGTCTTTGAGTTTCAAGTATGTCTCTTTTAGTCACTGTATATTTGGATCTTGTTTTTTTGTTTGTTTTAATTTGGAGGGAGAGCAGTCTCTTCCATTTAGCTGAAGTGTTTAATCAATCCATATTTAATGTTGTTAATGATGGAGTTGGATTTATGTCTTCATTTCACTTTTGTTCTGTTTCATGTCTTTCTTCTTTTATTTCTTTACTGTTTTCTTTTGCACTAACGAATATTTTCTAGTGTAGGATTTCAATTACTCTTAACTTTTCCATTATGTATTTTTGAGATGTTCTCTTAGTAGCTGCTCTAGGCTTACCATATACCTATTGACCTACAGGAGTGACTTCAGATTTATGCCAGCTTGAGCCCAGTGAGGAATAAAATGCTGCTGCTGTTGAGCTCCAGTCACTCCTCCCACTTCGTGTGCTGTTTATAATTTATACATGTTGTGATCTCTATATATGTTGTTTAGTTATTACCTTATATGACTTTATGTCTTTTGTAAAGCTGAGAGGAGAAATAGGAATAAGTATTCATTTATGATTTGTTAAAATTAACCTTAACTTCCATTTCTGGTTCTGTTCATCTCTTCCTGTGTATTCGAGTTACCATCTAATATAATTTTCTTACTGTAGTTCACCTTTGTTTCCATCCATCTTCTTTACAATGTTGTCAAATATATTACTTTTCTATATGTTACTGTCCCAACAATGCAATTATATACACATTGTTAGATGCATTTGGTTTTAACATCAGAGAAGAAAGGAGAAAATGCATTTGTATTTGAGAAGCCTCTGATGATAATCCCTGGAGCCTCAGCCTTGGGTATTGCACAGTTACCCCACAACGACAGTGGTTTTAGTAGTGTTCTTTGTCTCTTTCCCTGATCTCTCGGTTAAAGTGTTTGTTGTTTCACATCTAGGTCTTAGGCTTCACCATTTGCTGACTGGTGGCCGTATTTTCAACAGTGCCCTGGAGCATAAATTGCTCTGTAGTTTGATTTATTAAATTTAGTTGCCTTTACAGCTTCAGTTCTTGAGGCCAGTCTTTGAGGTTTTTTTCCTGACCTCATGCTTAGTTGCTCAGCCATGTCCGACTCTGCGACCCTTTTTGACTATAGCCCGCCAGACCCCTCTGTCCCTGGAGCTTTTCAGGCAAGAATACTGGAGTGGGTTGCTGTTTCCCTCCTCCAGGGGATCTTCCCGACCAAGGGATTGAACCTGGGTCTCCTGTGTTGCAGGTGGGTTCTTTACCTGCTGAGCC